ATCGTGTCGCGCGACACACCGAGCATATATCGCTGTCATGCGTTACCCACCCTTAGACGTATGTAACAGCTTGTCCATTGCTTTACTTCTTTTTTGATACAGTATGGGACTTGATATACGTATACGTATTCTATATGTATTAAACTCATTGAAACTTAGGTATTCCTATGTAGCAGAGCTGACAAACTGGAGGTTATGGAATTATTTGTTTTTCCCATTACTTCTAGATCCTACGTTACTCAGTGACAAATCACGGTTCTCCAGATTAATATGAAATATGAAATAAATAAAACTAGTAGCAGTTCACTGTCAGATTCATTAATAGATAATACGTTTTATATAAATTTTCGCCAAGACAAGAATCTATATTACATATAGAACAACGAAATTTGATGGTAGAAAAGAATTTTACAAAAATCATTGCGTTTCCACTGTACATCTACACAAAAGTGTACAGTGCTAGACAGCTCGAACGCACTAGCTGAAACTGGATATACGATAGAAATCAAATGGACGGGCTAACATCAGCTGATGCGTTTGAATTGCCCGGTTCTATACATACTGTAGGTACATGCGGGAATACAAAGTAAACATCGATCGAATTCTGCAATATCATAGGATTGAAACGCATCATTACTCTCCGCTTAAATTCTATACGATTCTGATCTATGATTAAATCAACGTACATGCTAAATTTAATTTATCAATTACTTTTAAATGATCCCACAATAAAGTATCAACATAGATACGAAATTATTTATAAAAATAACAGAACACTTTGGTCTCAACATGTGTAACAAATGTTACCAGAGTAGAACGATGTGTACAATAAGGTTATTAAGGTACAACCAGTCCAGAATAGTTTACAAGAGAAAGGGTTAGCTTTATTGGAACAGCCTTAGGAACGTATGAAGCATAAGCGTTTATGTTCAGAGGGAAATTTAGAACTCATTAAGAGGCACTCGTCATCAAGAGGGGTAAGGAGCGAGGGTGAGAGAGAGAGAGAGAGAGAGAGAGAGAGAGAGAGAGAGAGAACGAAAGAGAGAGAGAGAGAATTAACCTGAAGGGCCAGTGTACGAGGTATAGCAGAAGAGCCAACCCCTAGATAGGTGGCACGCAGACACGCACGAGGATGGAAACCGCGAGTTCTCGAGGGGTGCCCAAAGTATTATTGTAATTATACACTTAGGTTTATTTCCTGTCTACCCCCGTCGTTCGGCCTAAGGGAGCATTACGCAGGTACCCAATAGGGGTCGGCAGCTCTCCTAAACAGGATCCATTATATAGATATAGCCAGTGAGGAAAAAATAAAAATAATGATAAGAGCGTTAAACTGCCCCGTGGCCGGAAGCGGTATTCGTAAGGGATGGTTTCAAGGCCCTGCGTGACTGTTCTTCGATACTCGACTGCCACTACTGCTCCGACTTGTCTGACGACACTCGACCGTTACTACTGCTCCGACGGTGTTGTTCCTCTTTTCTTCCTTCCATTACCCTCTTACTTTCTCACTCTCACTCATAATAGTATACAGCGTACCTTGGCCTGGCTAGTCGTTACCTACTATTACTTCGCTAGGTATCCACCCCCTCGCAAACACTAGGAGCTACCTTAAACTACCCCTCCGCCGCACGCTCTACCACCTAGTCTTTTAGACGATACCGCGGCAGTCCCCAATATTCCATACATTTTCTAGACTTACAGATCCGGTACATATTATAAAATTTAAATGCTGTCGATTTAACGGGGTAACGACGATACCCCCATTACCGGTCCTCTTTCAACCTCTTTGCGTTTTAACTCCTTTTCTTGCCTCACTTAACTCATAACGCTAATTACTATCCGATAGCTACCCCTCTTAGTTCTATCAGGCTGTAAGGTTTTTTTTTAAGTATGTAACGTTAAGATCTACAATCTATAAGTTATTCATTCGCTTAGCTTACAATCTTATTTCATTAGTTTTAATGTATAGAATTTATATACTATATGGCAAAACCCTAATATTCCCCAGAAGCCACTGCTTTGCCGTCCTTGAACCTCCGAAAGGTAAAAGGCCGTAGGGTAGTGGATGTATCTTTGCTCTGCCTAATTTGATGTGAAACAAACGGCGAAGCTGTTCACAATTGACAGATGATTGACATCGCTGGCTTGACTTTGACTTTTTGCATTTCCTAAATTATCCGTGATCTCCCCACGGTGGGATTTCAAGTAAACCCCGGGCCACAGTCCTTCGAGGCTTTCCCCAGAGATCGAGTATACGAGACGAGGGGATGTATACGAGGAGTACCGGAAGTCAGTTTCAAAAGGTGCGTCCTGCCAGTCTTCCGCATGTAATAACGTTTCCGGGATTTTTGTTCATGATCGTGTAAAGGTCTTCCGAAACGTGGATAAAGCAAAGTCACGTAAATGAAAGGACCAAGCGCGACCCCAAGTGCAAGAGTGCGGTTATAATTTGTTGTTGTATCGGAGAGACCGCGAAGCTGCTCTTTCCTGTCTTTACGTTTAGCCATTACTTTCAATTTGGCCGCGAATTAACGGTTCTATTCGGCGTGTCTCCGTGAAGCGCAATAAATAAGGGAGACCAAGTGAGTAGTAAATATAAATCAGGAGCGATCGCCCGTAAGCGGGGAGCCGTTATGTGTCCCTAGCGTCCCGTGTGCGGGCATGCCGGTACTTCTGTTTCTATTCCTTCTTCTACTGTTGGTTCTATTCCTATTCCGCCGTCTTACTCCCATTCCTATTCCCTCAACGATACTACCTTTTCAAGAGATACGACCACCACTACTATACCTATATATATGCACTAGTGTCCTAGAGATATACAATTTATAGCCTCCACTGTGCCTATCCTCGACCCGCAAGTATAAATGATGATTAATAACTAAATTATCATTCTAATCCTCATGAAGAAGCATCTACGAAATTCCTTGATATTCGTCTTCCGACAACTTTCAGATAAAGCGTTATAATTTCGTTAGAACGTGGATTCTTTCTGTTCCACCCAGGTGGGCCTGGTTAGGAAGGATCTCTATTTTCCTAGAACAAAAAAAATCGCATTACCAGAATGCTCGGTTGAAAAACCTGAAATCGTCTTTTTCTTACTTTGTAATAGCTTCGACAGAAACTCATCCACACGTGATTCGCTCTTTACTGTACAGTAACATGGGTTACCACTGCCGTTCCTTTTTGGCGCACAGGTGTAGCATCGTAGACGACACAGGTGCGAGACCTGCTGTCCTATTGATTATGCAATCACGTGGCAATGCGCTGCCCACAAAATCGAGGGGCTGCACAATAACAACACATCGCACCCCCCCATACACAGTCAGATACCCGGGGCCCTAAGTAAAATCCCGCCGCCTGGCCACAGGTTCACATTAATTATCCTGACTATCAAGTGGCACCACATATGTTGCGTTCTCAGATTTTTGTCCTTTATAGACGTATACTTGTTCCCCCCCACTCTTTGTCTCTTTCTTTTTTTTTTTACTAGCCCCCCCATGTCTATTTACTCACTCGTCCCCCGATACCTGTCGCACCGGACACGCAGTTTATGTGTTCCTGGACAGCTGGACACAGGGCGCGATACTGAACAGTAGTAGTATTATAGTAGTCTGAACATTTGCCTCTCTCTCTCTCTCTCTCTCTCTCTCTCTCTCTTTCTCGTTATATCTCTATCTCCGTGTAATGTTTACTCTCGATAGTTAATGAGTCACGACTCTAACTGCACGGGAGAGCTGGCTAGAACTAGCAAAGAGCAAATCGATAATGTTGAGGCTATTTATTTTTCCTTTTTTGCTTTTCCCTTTTTTTCCAGTCACCCAGTTTCAGAACTGACACTATTTTCCCGCCACGTGGTCCTGTAACGTATAAGCATATACAGTCTAACCATTGACTAACCAGTTAATCAAGATAACGGACGAGGCAATAAAAAAAAAAGGATTCGCAGATCGAAATAATTGATGCATCCCTGACTATTGAAGAACGAAAAGATGTTTTTTTTTTCAAATTAAAGTTTTCGTCAGTCTTGTTATTGTCAAACAAAACTGTCACCGATACACCTTGGTATTATGATGTTCAGTGATAAAATGCATAACTGATATGCCTCTTGCACAATTTCGTATTCAGGAACCTCGTTGGAGATACTTTCCGTCGCTTCGATGGCAGGCTTTACGAGTTCGGCCGTCGCGACGGAGGCGTCTTGTATTTCCGGTGCCGTCGCTCAGTTCCTGCGTGAGGGTACGATTGGCAGGGAATCGTAAAATCCAGGCTTCTCCGTTTCAACGATTTGATCCTCGAATAAATAGATGAGATCAGCGTCACGATCTTCATCATCTTCATTCTCGTTCCAAGAACGGGTCTCGGCCCAATCTTCCAAAACGTATAAAAGCGCCCTTCAAGACGAAGCTTTCTGCGGGAGATTCAGCATCGTTCCTATTAGACTCCCCTTTCTTGCGGATGATCAGCTTAGCTAAATGGACCATGAGGCATCCCTAAGGATAAAGTACCGAGTTGCTTGCGAACAACATCATCCCTTAACAGTCCACTAATTTAACCCCGTCGCCGGATAAAGAATGGCGGTAGGCAATGCAAAGTAGAAATTAAATGGCAAGGAGAAGAGATTGATCGCTCCGAGGGGGAATAAATATTCTTACCACTTTGATCAACACGTTAAACGAGTCCCCATTGGCATCGTTGAAAATAAATTCTTTAAAAAGCACCAAGCGACATCCTCTTCAATTTTCTCATCCATCAGGCGTCTGTCAAGCTGCTATTTGATTATCGTTCAAAAGGATCTTGAGTGTGGATTCTTCAAACCTGATTCGCTGCTTTTTCAATCAGCGCAACATGATCGTTCGAGATGGTCGTGATTCGGAAATATTCGTAGCTCGCGTGCTGTTTCCTGATGTATGGCGAAAGTGCGAAGCTACGTTCAACGTTTTTGGGGCTCAATCTGTATTAAATTTTAAATAATTAATATTCAATGCTGACGGATGACTCACCGTTGGGTTCGGCATGCATCTTCTTGGCGGTGGCGGCATTGGGTCTGGTGCAGCACGATAAGCCGGCGGCGAATATCTTCCTGATGGAAAGCATCCCGGTGCCGAAATGGGTGCACCGTGGAGTCCCTTGCTACCCATCATCTTGTCTGGTGAGTACATCATCCTGAAGGTGTCGTAGTTCACGTTAGTCCAGTAAAACACACCAGTGACAGTTTAACAAGTGTGATAAGTTTTAAGCTATCTCAAAAGTTCGTTATCACTTAAGAACTTTCTTAAGCCACAAAATCGTTCCGTATAAATCCACCTGTTATAGACACTCGTGTAACATAATCACGGCACGAAATCTCCAAACTCTCATTAGGGTCCGTTTCACGCGAGCAGCCTATAGCCACGCGCGTCATGCCCCACTTGAGAAATGATGAAAAGAAAAAAAGCACAAATATTAAAGCACGCCAACAGTCCTTTTCGCTCGGTTACCATGTAGCCTGGCATCGGGCCTCTTGGGTGAAATGCACCGGTACACGGAGAAAAAAGGAACTTCATATAAACTCAACGACAGTAGAAGTGTACCAAATTTCATCCACTGGGCTCTCGGACGAAATTCTCTTATCATTTAATTTCTTTATCAACTTTTCTCATCCTTTCGTCCACTACCACCACCACCACCCACCACCACCACCCACCACCACCCACCACCCTCAACAATAAAATCCTCAGCACCTCTCCTTCACGCTTGTTCAGGTCAAGCAAAATTTGATTAATACCAGGTTTAATAAAAAAAAAGTTGATTTTACTATCCGATACCGGATACCAGTCACTGGTTAACCAGGTAGCACCTGAGTATCGGATTTATTATGAAGTTCCCAACACTCAAACGAGAAACCAGTTTCTAACTGTCGTAATACGCGACATCTTCTGGGTCAATCGTCGTACTTTGTCTGTTATCGCGCACAACAATTTTCCGAATGACAGGGGGTGAACTTGGAGAGAGCACTGCACCTCGTGCCTCCCGACCAAGGATTTGGCCTTCCTAACTCATGAGCTGGTTGTAGCCCACGGCGAGCACTCGACTCTCCCGACTCTCCCGACTCTCGCTCCACAGATAGAGTCTCTCTAAGAGAGGGTAGGATTGGGGCGGGGCTTTACTAGTGGCCTAGGCATGCGCATCGCATTCACCCTTAGCGGCCATCTTGTTAGGTTCACTGGGGCTTCTATGGTTCCGCGACCGCTATCCGCAAACCTGTCCCTCTCTCTGGCTAGATCCCTTCCACGAGTGTTGTTACCCGCTGCCTCCACCATCGGAGTAGCTACCTCCTGGGTACAGCAGTAGTATCTCTACTACCTACTTCCTTTAAAAACTTTTCGGTACCAGCACTCAAACCTGCATCCTGGCGAACGACACTCGAGGATGCTGGCAACCTGAAAAAAAGAAACACCAGTAAACACTCCTGTACTCTTCATTCTTTCAAAATGTATTTCGACTCTTATTGTCATTTTTTTAAATATTGCTAAAATTTCAAACTATCTACAAATTCACGTTACCGCAATCGATGATTGTTGTTGATATTGCATATTAAGTAAAGGGGAACCAAGTTCTTGAAAAAAATAATGGAATTGATATGAGAGTCCTTTGTCCATAGGGTGTGCGACGGTACCAAAGAGCGTTTCCAAGGGATGTTGGGTGTAAGGTTCCCGCGGGGCCTGTGTTATCGCCTCGGCAGGATGACCAGGCCGCGTTATCAAATATTAAACCTACTTGCACTGGTACAGCCTACCCTCGACTATCTACGCTTCTGGCTTCCTCCGCCTCCTCATCGGACGACCAACTCCAGGGCACCACCTCCTCTTTTCCTCTTCTTATTTTCACTTCTTTTACTTCGTTCTGACCTCTGCTTAATTATTTCCAAATACGTATCTTCCTGTATTGCAGACGGTCCTTTTGTTTCTCTTCGCCGATGCACCGACGTAACCAGCAACCTTTGTGCTTCGTTACTTCTCTTCTTGCCTATTTGAGAAAGAAAAATAAAAACGAAATATCACCTATACCAACGCTCAGTATCTAAAATTGCTGAGAAAAATGTACCTGGGGAAATAGCCTGTAGAGTATAAGGGGGAGGGAAATGAAAAAAAAAAAAATGAAATGAACATGAAAAAATCAACGAGTATTCCCTCCCATGCAAATAACGATGTAATCGTACCGTATTAATGTCAGCCTACCATATGCTACTCGTCGGTCTACCTAGCCAGTATATATCGTGTCTTAATGTGTCATTATAGCGAGGGATAATTATTAAGTAAACGGGAACCCGTAACGAGTAAATGAAACTAAACCCACGTATTAGAATACACAATGTACTTTTCTTCCAATAAGCCTAATGAGTATAATCGAACAAGAAGAAAGGAACGACGATACAAAAAGGGGAAATATACAATCACTCTCGTGGGTAAAAAAATATTTAAGAAATTCACGCACCGTGCTAGTCAACGTAACAAGGATTAAAGCTGCATCAACGAGTCTGAAGGTGGCCACTAATAAAATTATTGTATATCAGTTGTCTGAATGAATAAAATAAAGTTTTACGAAATCTCAGCTCAGGATTATCCAATAGTCTAATACCAGTGGCGCTATCAGTATTATAGGAGTATCATAGAGATAGGAGTGTATCGGTATGAGTAACATTTGGGGATCAAGATCATTCCCTCTCTTAAGGGTTCGCTTGAATCTTTAACGCGCCGTCACTCATTGTAACTGCTGATACGAGGGAATGGTCCTGGTGCTGTCACGTCGATTAGGCGAGAAAGCGGATTCTCAACAACCCACCTACCAACCAACCAACTCCCGACTACCGCGACAATCTCCACCGCCATTCGCCATCCGAATTCTCTACCTAACAACGCGGGAATGCTCTTCCTTCTCTGACAGTGAGAAACGTTTCGCAATTAGGGGTGACAGACAGGAGTGGCACGTTACTGGAAACTCGCTAGCCTGACTAACTCGATAAGTTTATGAGAAGAGTCCTAATAGACAATCCAAAAAAATAAATAAATAAAATAATCAGCAGACCTTCTTATTTTACTTTACCTCTAACTCCATCTATACGCGCACATTGTGCAAACGGAGTACGGAGCATCGAGTGTACGGTATAAAATGTAGTGTATAGTGTTGTACAGGGGGCGACAGTAGCGCGTATCAACGTGCAATGAGAAAACGAGCCTGGAGCCATCAACGGTTGACTTAACGCTACGAGAGAGCTAGGCTTGCAGCCTGTTTGCCCTGTTAGGTCTGTTATACGAGTACACACAAAGCCACTGTTTGGTGTATCGTGATTGCCAAATGAGCGCACCTACCCCGATCAGACGTGTTTTCATTAGTCCTGCTTTAGGTACTCTCTAAACGTAACGCATCTACATAGGCGGCTCACTGGCTATTCCCTACTGTCCACTGAGTACCTACCCCAAGGCTGCGCCTCATGTCAAGCCTACAAACCAGACAACAAACCTGCAGCAGGGAACTTTGTCAATAAAGTCTTATATTCTTACGAGTGAACTGTACCATGGTGACTGTTTCAGTAGAAAATTTCATGGAGGTCAAGGCACTTTTACTGGAAGAAAGAAAAAGAAAAGATATAAGTACCAAGAGATTGCTTTTTGAGCAAAGCATTACGTAGGCTCAGTTTATAACTTGGTGCATCTATATAATATCTATGAAACAAATAAAAGCATCACCACTCCAGGTTATCTGGATATTCGTCCCGTGTCAATTCGCGCAGATGGCTGGAAATTGGAACGCAGCCGAAAATGTAGGACCACGTTTCACGTTGTACAATGCGCACGTGAACTTGCTTCCATCCACGTACAGGTTCCAACACACTAGCTGCATACTTATGCCGAGGCTCTGCACATAAAGTTAGGGTCTACCACCACTATCCAGGAACACTAGCTACCAAAGTGAGCGGATGTATATAGCTAGAGGGTAGCTGCCGTTTCCACTCGCACCCGTACGTCCCTTCTTACGGACCAGCAGGAGTTCCTCGCTGCCGCACAAGAATAAGAAACACGGAGCATACATAAACAAGGAGGTTGGGTAGGTTGGTAGGTTGGGGATGCAGCAATTTAAAACGTACCCCGGAATTCCTCCCAGTGGGGCCGTAGAGCGGCCCTCCGTATTACGAATTCCCTCCTAAGGCAACCATACCTCTCTTGCCTTCTTCTTCTTCTTCTGCTGATCTCTTTCTTCATCTTCCTCCGCCTATTCAGCGTGGACTCTGTGTCTGCAGCATCTTCTTGGTACCAGGAACATCCAGCTTGCTGCAATAGAATTGTAATATCAATTATCGATATCAATGGAGCACGTGAAAGTATAATGAAAAAGTGACAATCGATACAGTGATTTCTTTTTTGTACTTTCTATAGCTGCCATCCATATGCTGCGCTTTGCGATCGAAGCGGACCCCGACTAGCAGGTCGACAATGCGCCACTAACGTAAGTCAAATAAGGTTAACAATAGAGAATTTCAAGTTGTTTCACGGTGGAACGGTAGAGAGTCGGCCCGAAGAATCTATGAAACCTTGGCACATGGGAACATAGAGTGTGTGTGTATAAGAGAGAGAAAGCTTTGCGATTGGCTGTTTGAACGATGGTGTCGCCTCGGGCGAGCGTGTTTGCAGACATAAGGGAGAAGCCCGCGAGCCGCTCGGCCTGAGTCGAGGGAGTTCAATTGGTGGCAGCAATCCTAGTAATGTACCCGTGGGGCTGCGTCAAAGTGCCGGCTTTCTCTGGGCGTCGCGACGCCCGCTACTTGGACCCCCTTTAGGATTCGCCATACCCGAACACTCTATCATTCTTGTCTACTTGACTATATCCTATCAAAATTCTACCTTTGCAAAGTGCACCTCAGCTCCTGCTGAACCAGAACCTTGTCCAGAATATAAATACAATATACGGAAGTACTCTGCAGTTCCAGTGCATAATAATACATTGAGTATATAAATGTATACTATAACTAAAATACATTAAAGAATTAATCGAACACGTACCATCATTTCCAAAGTCTGATTATCGACAATAGACTATCCTGGATTAATGGGCCGTTCACATTTCTTTTTCATTAACACTTTCTTATAACTACCTACTTCGCAATGTAGTTATCGAACGTACTGTAGGGCTGCTTCAAGGTTTACAGAATTCCGAGCACAGAATAGAAATAAGGAGAGAAGCAAATAAGTGAGAGTAGCTGTACAGGCGTCAGTAAGAGAATTCGAGAAAGATAGTAAAAGGCAAGGAACCGTGCCCGAAGAATATAACGGCCACGAGTACCTGAATGTTTCATCGGTGCGTTTGGCGTTTCGTGTATCTCGCCGAGAGATACGGCCGTTGCGGGGCACGAACAATTGTTTTATGGCCCAATTCCACGATTCTCGCCTCGCACGTCCCTCTCACTCCCCGACGCCGCCGTCTACTGCCTACCTAGCTAGGTACCTTTTTGTCTTTCTTTACTTTTATATTTTTCTCTCTCTTGCCCCACCAATCCACCCTCGCTACCGTCTCGCATGCTTCTTCACTATGTACCTCTTACTGGACCCCATCGTATTGGAGAATGAATGAATGTTCGCCAGGATGTCCTGTACACTCTTGACCACGACCTTATTTTTCAGAGAGCGTAGAACAGTAAATCGCTAGAATCGATATAGCAACTGGTTCAATCTGTAAAAGAAAGAAAAAAGTATACTATCCGCTTCGGTGCACTGATATACAATTTCGTTAAAGAAAGTAAAACAGGATTGACAATTCTGATTACTCTTTATAGATGTTTTTTTTTTAAAGAAAATTAGTAATAGCGACGAGCCATTGCTCGATCGCCGTGCCGATTCTTCGGCGAGAATGCACGAGTTGCCCCATCGGCGGATATATCGCGAGCGCGATTTCATGAATAGGTAACGAGGCCGGGGCTGCGGAGTAATATTAAGGTTCTTTCGCCAGGAAAAAAAAAAGAAAAAAGTAAATAGGCTCATACACGTACAAAGAGAGTTACGTACATAGATGTAGGGAGTGTCACTCAAACATCCACGAAAAAGCTTATCCTAATATGAGCGTGTAAGTCAAGCGCGGAGTCTAGAGTCCATGCGGCTCCTCCCTACATACATACAGTTGGATGGAAAAACCTTCCATTTCATTTTTATCTGTTTTCCCTTTCTTATTATACCCACCATATCGTTTCTAATCTCGATCCTCAAATCGAAGTTTCATTTGGGAATATCTTTTTCCTGGTACAATCATCTTGCCAGCTACATTTACAGCACCCTCTGCATACGTAGGTACCGAGGAATTTATAGTACAGGGAATTCGAGGACGAGGTCGAGGTGGAGCCGAAAAAAAACCTGCAAGAGAAAGAGGTGCGATAGCTAGGTGGTTGGATTGATAGGTCGTAGGTAGCATCACCTACCTCCTAGATAGTAGGTCCAAGTGAGGAATAGAAACGGGATCTGGAATCGTCGCATTACCGTCTCGCCGGTCTCTCTTTCATACCGAATAAACCAGCTGTCCATTTCCCGATCCAACCCTCAGAGCCATCAATTATTCAACTGTTTCCTAGGTAGTTGTGCCGCACGGTAACAAAGTTGAACTTACACGACAAACTGGCCTGCGCCTTACTTTCCGCTCACTTTCCTGTCCCGTCTTCGTCCACTTCCAGTTCTTCATCTTCTTCCTCCCCGTGAACCTTGGTGCAAGAAGGCCGAAATCCAAAGACCGGAAGAATAAGTGGAGCACAGATCCTGTCAGGCCCATCGTCCTCAGGTACTCCTGGACAAAAGTTCATTGCCATTGAGGGGTGAAAGTCAAGATTCTTCTGTATTTCGGATTAATAAATTAAGATCGTACTCTGTATACTTCCATCTATTCCCTAGCATTGTAAAATAGGCACCTAATATACAGACACTGCATATATATATGGGTGTATGTATAGATATATAGATTCGACATCTGGCCTCCTTTTTAATTTTTTATCGTACCCGCCGTCGGAAGCCTTCTCGTATTCCTTCAGTCTGTTCACACCTCCGCGCCTTGGGACTTAACTTTAAAAACCGAGGACTTAATAATGCATCGGGCCCGCCAACGGCGGACGGTAAAACAGTTATAAAAACAGCGGTAACTACGTTAGGATCAATTATTTAAGATGCACGGCTCCGTAAAGAGAGCGAGAGACCGTGGCGAGCTAGTCGTAAAGGGGCTCAACCGAGTGAAGGGACTGAAGGGGCTGCTGCCCAAGTGGACTCTACTTTTTCCTTCTTTTACTTCACCGCTTCCTTATTTCTCTTCTTTCTTCTTCTTCTCCTCATTCTACTATCTCTCTTCCCCGTGCTACTATTCCTACTACTCTACACACTACTCCTTTAACTGCATCCTAAAAGATCCGGTTAAAACTTGCACAAGTGGCGCCGTACCGTATTACATGGATAAGGCTTGACCTGTCTCGACGCCATCGCAAAATGGCTGCTCTTATAACTCCATGCTGATACGTTAATACTGTATTTGTCATTACCACTTCCAAATGCAATACTGCGTAATTTACTCTAATCAATGCGCAGAAGATATTTAAGAAAAAGTTTTACTCACTTAATAAAACAGCCTGGATCATCCCGCGGGGTAGTGCAACGTTTAATTAGTATAACGGGCGATTCTCTTCTCAGATGGATAGTTTTGTCATAATAACTCTAAAACGACATGTTCCAGCATTTTTGCAGCATAATAACAGCACGCTTTACATGATGCTGCTCTTTTGTTGGCAATATTCTGGGATATTTTAGCAAGCAATTTTTGGCTATGTGAATAGATCAACAAAACATGAACTTTGTCATGTTATAGTATGTAGGCACTTACTCGATGTAACATTAGAAAGGGACATGGGATGTCCTTTATTGAAGATTCGCACCTGATTTTAAAGCACTCCAGGAGACAGGAAAGCTTTAAAGCTTGGAAATATTATCGATCCACCTGAGACAATCCTCCGTCTTTATTTACGGGTCCAACTGTTTGCTTTTAGCGAGTCGACACGATATTTTTGTATCGACCATCCGATATATTCCGATATAAAGTATATGCTAAGATATTATGGAAAGCTTTAGTCTAGCCATGACTCCAGGGCACCGTGACAGATAGACGTCTATAAATTAATTACATAACCCCGAGGTGACCGACATTTATTGAACAATTCCAGGATTCATTGGAATGTTACTTGCAGGCCATGAATTCATTGGATCGTTGGTTGATTGAATTAATACAATTTTCTTAATTACCTCACCTGTAATATACTTGAGTTTTTCAGATATACTAGCCGTTTAAAAAAGATAGCTGCAACTCAGTCAAGTCTATCGAATTTAGGATGGAACTTTAATTAGGTGCATTAATGTAATATCGATTATATTCCGTCTTCTTTGGTATTCCGTGCAAAATCAATAAGCAGTGAAAGTATGAACAGCTCGTATAGCTGATAATATATATTTATTTTTACATACGAGGATATAGATTTATTTAAGCATGAAGTAAATACTTCCAAGAATCTTTTAGCGCAAACCGTGCTAGCAGAAACGTTGGAAAGGCGTCGAGCTAAAGAGGAGATAGTGGCGCCATCCTTGATTGGATACGGATATTAGATCTGTTTTAAAACTATTGTCGATACAAAAAATTGCATTCTGCAACAATTGATTTAAATTTTTATTATTTATATGAAGTATACGATTTTTTTTTAGGGAGAGCTCAAGAAGGAATTTATTGGATTATTAATTTATATCTTCAAGATCAGAGTGAGAGTTTGTTTGTTTGTAGGCTATGTGCCGGCTTTCTCATTGGGAAAGCGTCCCGCGAGCGACGTCGGCGTCGCAGAAGGTGTGCGCGCGCGCCATTCCCGTCTCTGTCCGTCGCGACGCTCATTGTCAAAAACGTCAAAAAGAGCCGGGAGTATTTGGTGATCTTGTTCGTTACTGTGCACGCATTTTTACAGTGTAGTGAAGATGCCCTTACATCGATATACGCACGCCGTACTTTGTAGGATTCCACTATCTCTGCGTACCCGAGGCGAAGTCGTCCTTGATGAAGCCAGGAAACAACATTTGGCTCTGGCACAGCTTCTACGAGAACTCGGCATCGATGTCGTTGAGATGCCTCCCGACGAGAATTCTCCACTCTGTGTTTTTGTAGAAGATATTGCTGTGGTTTGCAACGGAATTGCCCTTATAGCCAGGCCCAACGAACCTTCACGTCTAAAAGAGGTCCTGATCTCTATATTTGCATATATTAAAAATGTTCATGTCTATTTTCATCTCTTTGTGATTTGATAGAATATACTTCTCCCATATTACTAGATTGAAACAATTCGTGCTGTATTGAAGAAAGAACTTGAAATACCCTTGGTGGAAATTGCAGACAAGAATGCACGGCTTGATGGTGGAGATGTTCTATTTACAGGTGGGTATCGTTTGCACGTAACCATAATGCAGAAATAGTTAATGTATATCGTTTTATTATAGGGCGAGAATTCTTTGTCGGCCTTTCGCAGTTCACTAATGAAGGCGGAGCACGTGCAGTGGCTGCAGCATTTCCTGAATACCCCTGTGTACCTATTAAGGTCTGTTTTATTAATATAATCTTCACTTAGGGATTTTGATACTCCAAAATAGCTGCTTCCAAGGGCTTACATATATGTTAAGTGTCAGGTGTGCACGGCATTGAAGGGCCGTGTCTTGTATCATCTTTTCATTCATCCATTCGTAACGTATTCGTTTAAGGTGGGTGATGGTGGCGAGGAAATCATAGTGGAGAATCTAACCTCAGCTCCGCTTCAGGTCAGAACGCGTTACAGTCTGGCTCTCGCAATTGTCTTGCATTCCCAATTACAGGGAATACACACGTTCTTCTTAAAGAAACACAATTATTACTGCACGTAGTTTCATAAGAGTTTTTCTACTTGATCACACTTGGCTCCCTCATCTATTCTGTTTTATCTTGACTAATCAAGAAAAAATTGGGAAGCCATTACCATAGTAAAACACAATGCGTGCACGCTACTTTTCAAAAGAGAGAAAAGAGAAAATACGAGACCCATTCAAATTCAATCCACGCCATTGAGTCCACAAAGAGCACAAAGCGAATTTTATGGATCTATTTTTATCACAGTATCATCTTATTATCAATTATCATGTTTATGGCTTTAAGTTACATCATTGCTCTTAATACTTACTGCAGAGTAATGTCAGCTATATAGGGAAAATTAATATAGTAAATACGATCATTCAACGTAAATTTGTCTAACATCATGTTATATGACTGGTTACGTCAGCACTATTATTTGCTTCAAGAACAATAAGTGTCAAGGTCTTGTAGTTTTTAATATGCCAACGGGGATAGGTGCCTAAAGCGGCACTCTTTATAAATACAAATCATAGTCTGTGATATGTACATTGCACGCATGCATTTCCCAGTCACGCTCGACTACGAGAATTGCATGCGACAGCATATTGCAAAAAAAGTATATTCATATAATACATTTAAAAAAAGTCCATGCCTGGTGAAAGTCACCATTTAAATGAATAATTGCTTGATTGTCACAAATTAAAATATATACATTTATCAACGTTACAAACGTCCCAAAAATTGTTTCTAGTACAAATGAAAAGTTCGGATCAGCAGATAACGCGTTAATATTATTTTTGCTGAATCCCTCGCTTTTACAATTTGGCACCTGACCTTTCCTGTTTCTATATACTATAAAATATATTAGTCACGACATGCGAAATTGCTTATTAGCATAGAAGACGTAAGACTCTAAAATATTGTATGTTTGTTTTGAATTTCAATAAAGGTCGCAGAGTCGAAGCGGCTGAAATCTTTGGTGAGCATGGCAGGACCGGATGTTATCTGTGTAGGGGCTGGCAAAGAATCTCAAGAAGTTTTAAAGGTAAGATATTACGAGAATAAAAGGTCAACTCATACTATGGTATTTATCATTGAGACTAAACAATCAATGGAATTAATAAGAATGAAGGACACTGTCAATTGGTAGTAACTGGGCTTTAAGTGGTAGAATTAAAACTATTAGTGAATTAGTTTAAACACTTGTAGCCTATTTCTAATTACAATAAATTTAATACAGACTAACAGTATGTTTTTATACAGCGAATAGAAAGAGAAGCAACTTACAGCTACCAAACGTTAACAGTGCCAGAAGACGAGGCAGCTAATGTCATCTATGTCAATGGTACCCTGATACATAGAGCTAAGGACGAAATACCAAATTCCAGCAAAGTCTTCGCCGAAAAAGTAGAATTCTCCACTAGATCCTTGCATATATCCGAATTAGCGAAGGTCAGTTTAGGCCTTTCTTCCTGCTGCCTCCTGGTGCGCCGACCTCGACACATCCGCAGCATTTAAGCACGTCAATTAAAACGTACGATGAATTAATTGGCAATTTCACGTTGTAGAGATATGTGATTACTAAACGACCAGCCCTTAATGGCTAAATCTTCATTGATAATATGATAATAGTTTTAAGACTATTTACCACGGAACTGAAACTTACACGCTACACATAACGTTACCAAAAAAAGTGAAAAAAGAAAGAGATTTATTGTCGTTTAAACACGAGGAATACGAGTCAAACTCAAATCTCGTACGATAATAATACTTTTCAATATGAGAATCTCAAACGAGTCCGAAGAAAGGTATCTCTTGTTTAGTCAGATAAAAGAAAATGAAAAAAAAAGTATGTATTGATCAAGTTGCAGAATCTTATACGAGATGACGCGAATGATTGAAAAGATTTGAGATAATATATTGAATAGTAATATATTGAGACAAATGAGAGTAATATATTGATTAATACGATTATATCCGTGGCTTTAATCTACAGATAGATTCAATTATATTTATTCTAGTAGCTGTCAAATTAGTGTCTGCTTTTCTTCATTTTTTATTATTCATTATACTTTGATATCAAGAACAAGCTTTCAATGCATTTATAGTGATTTAATTTTTCGTATTTTGATTTTTTTTAAACATTCCTATTCTTTTTTATTATTTATCTCGTCCCCATTGACTTACTACTATTAACATCTATTGATGCAGAGCTAAGTTTGATATTTATTTAAAATCAGACAACTTTTATGCCACGCCATTCATTGTTAAAGATACGAACATGTTCTTACAATATCTTAATCAATTCCAAGAGTATCTGATATTAAACGCAGCACAAATCGTACATGTATATGTTCATGTACAGGTATTCTAGGATCTATATAAAATATGTTCATAGATCAATAATCAATTATAAATCATTTATGCAAATATATATATAATATATACATATAGACACAAACAATATGTTGATTTATTGTCATATATCAGTATCATAAATGTCAAGCATTCGCTGAACATTATTGACACAATCCACTCACTCGGCTGCATGTACTGGTGATGGATAAAGACACTGTACCGATACTTACTTTTTATCAAAATTACTGGAACTTTGATACTAGTGAACTGATTATACTCCCTGACTATTTACTGACCCAGTTGACGATCGTTACGGGGAAGGAGCAGTCAGCTAATTAAAATTTATATAGATGAAAATAAATGGTATAGATCAAATAAATAAACTAAAAGATAACGAAAATTTAACTTAAAATAAAAAAAAATTCAAGTTCCATTAATAACAATTTCTAAACTGCGACTGTATACAGTAGCTCAATGTATAATAGTTTTTTGTATTTCAGTTTTTAAATTATCTATACATCTCACTAACTTGTCCTGAAATAGCTTCGAAATAAAGACTCCTTACAATTAAATATTGGTATTTACTGGCAGCAAACCTTACAAGATATGCAATTATATAAGCGACACATTTTTATTTACACGTATAAAGTATGTACAAAAATGCATAACATTTGATATTTAGATTTAGGACAATTTTTACTATACTACTATACAGTTGTCCCAAGCCTTGGCGTTCACCTGTTTCAAAATGGCCTTCAGGCTACCTTTGGAACCGACGTCGAATGTTCTTGGAAATGCTGTCCCTGGTGGACGTGCATAAAGGTTATGCATTATTTGTTCCCACTTGACTGGCCGTACCAGCTGCTTCAGCAAGTTTTTAGGGATTTTCCTCGCACTTGTATATGGTTTAGCAGTGACATTTGAATATACTGGAATTATAGGATCTTGATATTCAATAGTACGTATGGCTTTTTTTAAAGGTTCTTGTGCAGGTGCCATCAAGCTTGTATGAAACGCTCCAGACACTGGAAGTCTTTTCAATTTTCGTAATCCCATTTTCGATGCATTTTCTTCTACGTATAAAAGAGAATTCTGACATCCTCCAAAGATCTTGGCTTGAGTGTATAAATAGATGGCAATACTGTAACATAAAGTAATCGATCAAATTTAATATTTGGTTGCGATAGTGCATGTAAATATTTTAAATTATAACTCACCTGCATTCAGGGATTTGACTTCCTGCATTCATAGCCCATGTCTTAGCATTTTGACAGATAGAACTAACTTCAGCAGTTTGAGTACAATAGGCAAATATCATTCCTTGAGGACTTTGTGAAGCTGCTTTTTGCATCGCTGCTGCTCTGACACCAACTAATCTAATTCCATCTTCGAAGCACATAGCTCCAGAGAATATCAGAGCAGTCAGTTCACCCACACTGTATCCAGCCACACCTCTGCAAGTTTCTAAAACTTGTGGCCTTTCTTCACGAAGCTTTTCTAGTGCAGCTAAAGAAGCCACTACCGTTGCAGGTTGATTGTATTCTGTCCTGTCTAATTTCTCTTGTGGTCCACGGAGACAGATTTTTAGTAAATCATAACCCAAACACTCTTTGGCTATCTCAAAGAGTTCCTTAGCAGCTGGGAAATGCATGTATTCCTTAACATCACCTACTTTTAATATTCCCTGACCAGGAAACAGAATTAAAGAGCTGTCTCGAGGATTCAACTTTTCACGTGGTGCATCAAGATCATCCAGTTCCTTCGATGCACCCTCAGGGTAGGGTGTAGTAGCCCACTGTGTGTCATTAGCTTCATTGAAATTAGCAGCATCGTCCAAGAGTTTGGAAATCTCGGGCTCATTATCTTGTGGTCCATCCTTTTTTCCATCTTCAGAAAACGATCGAATCAACCGGCATCGCGATATTTTACAGAGGTTAGAAAGCACAGTGTGTTGTAGTCTTCGTGCAAGCATAATGTTCTCCACGTGGTAGTATCAGTAATGAAAAATTTGTTTGACTACTTTCAATACTGTAGTGTCTTTATTGATGGCATTATACATTCAATTGTGAATTGGTCAAATACAAAACCGGCACACTTTGTTTATTAAACTGTACCTCGTGTGTTAGGCTAGCCTATGTTTAAACTGCACATGCGCCGAACTACGTACAGACGAATATTGTCTTCAAAAGTGCATACATTATCATGTATGAGGATTCATTAAACGTTAAGGTATTTGAGGTATTCCTTGAAATATATTTCTTACGCTTAGCGATTTCTAGAAATAGCCACTTCTGGGAACTGGTGCATCATCTTTGTTATTGGAGGTATTTGCATTTCTCAGCCACTGTGAACTATTGTTAGAAAATCTGGCAACGTTACTGAAGTTCCCAGGCGCAGTTTAATTAAGCCAGAAAACCTAGGACAAACGACTTTTGTAATAGACATGTTTATTGTCCGTCCCGTAACGACCCAGTAACGATACCGTGTAATTTCTAAACTAGGCTGAGCTAGAATAATATACTGTATTGCATGTGCATTGTAAGTTTTATTCTCAAACGTTAGAAGATGATATAAAATATTAACCCTTTGCACTCCAACAATTAGTTTATACGAGCAATTTATCGCCAGTGGCGAGTAAAGGGTTAAATTGGCCAGAAGAAGCTTTACCGATGATACTGAAAATAATACGGGGTTCCAAAGTAGATTTTCTTTGCGATTTCAATTATAATTCATGAAAGAAATTAAATGTATAATCAATGCGAACTCAACATCAAATAAGAGAGCCATCCTGTAATATACATATTCTATCTATATACGAAGAATTTTAATTTACGCGAACAACCCTTTCTTAACTGATATTCAGGTAGTAACAGTATATTTGAAAAAATATTTAAAGCTGCTTTAAATAATCTCCGAAAAGTTGGTAAGTCGTGGTGGTTTTTTTTTAATAATACTGTGCAGAATTGTTCCAAGTCCATGGATAGAAATAATATTTGACTAAACCCTCGTATTAGGGACAGAATTTAAAATCTTTTCATATATTATAGTAGGATCTCATTAGGCTGCACCTGACAGCTACTAGTCATAGCGAGCACTGGCGGTATACTTGTCCTATAGAAGGTCGTGTGTCATATAATATACGGGAAATAACCATTTTTACCTATTCCTCCTTGGTAGTAAGGAAGTCGTACGTATCCTTCTTGTGGACAAAGTCGAGGAAATGTAACAAGATTCTTAAGCAGTAATGGGCCTTGCACATCAAAAGCAGCGGGAAGCGAGCGTGCAGCAGGCAACAACCAATGGGCAAGATGCTTCGGGTCTGAGTTCTGACGTTATAGCTGTATACGTTTTGCCCATTGGCCGCTGATTTGCTGCTCGCTACCTGCTGCCTTTGATGTGCAAGGCGCATAAATATCGCTATATAATTCCAAGGAAGAGAAGAACACATCGCTATGTTTAGAATTATATCAGATAATTAAAGCGCATGTAGCGAATGGGTATTTCTTTAGCTTTATCATGGACTCTACATAGAATTGACTTGTGAAACGAGTAATGAATAGAAAAGTATATACGTCAGAGTTCTGTTAAATTAGTTTTTTATTTCTAATATCATACAAACAATTGTAAAGCATATCAAATAGTAATAAGTAATTAGTACATCGTTATTATTGTTACCGAATTAAATTGCCAGCCATATTTCGGTTGTTCTCAGGAGAATTATAGTGACGGCGCTGCTCTTGAACGGGAAATATTTGAACTACGTTTAAATGTATAAGCAACTGTGCAGTTTTTAAAGATAAAATATCGATTACCAGTTTAGGAAAGGTTTAAGGGACATCAAAAGGATTGCGTTTAATGTATTCCCGAGGAAGAGTCGTTTCGCAGAAGAGCGACGCAGCAGCTGAAACTTTACACAGGCAGTAATCAGTATCTGCAATTGCACAGCAGGTTGCCTAACGATAGGCGCTCCTCTTCTCTACTATATGTAAACAATATCTTATATTTCAACAAACACAATATTACATGTAACATGCATATTACTTGTAATATTTCCTTCATTTTCATAACGTTAATATAACAGCGCTGTTACATTTACGTAATGTATTTGAGTATAAAATTATGACTAACATACACGTTACAAATAATATTGCGTTTATTGGAATTATTACAGAAGAATAATTACAGCAACGAGCAATAAGTTATAACTACTAGAAAGGGTCGTAATGCAGTTCTTGAATGAACGAAATAGATGATTCGCTTTGTTTTATAAATATTAGTGGTACGATTTATTCTAGCAAACACATTTGCCAGGAAATTGACGTAGCAATTTATAAAAAGCAATGGAGCAATTTAAGAAAAACATCCTTCTACAAGATACGAGGGTCCAAAAATATAATAATAATTAATTATCAGTGTCAGCGTTCCATGGAAATGTAAAACAAGATTAAGGTGTGTACCATTTTAAGTGGATTATATATATATATATATAAAAAGGTAAGACGAAAGAACTAAAGAGTAAGAGTAATAAATGATGACGAGTTATGATAATATGCAAATAAGAAAGTAAAAATTTAATAAGTGAAAAGTATTTTGCTAATGAAGAGAGCGTCTAAATATTGTTAACAAATGTCTATTTTTCATTATAGAATCGAATAGATGAATCTACAAACTAACCGCATGAGGAAACCATTAACTTAGAATTGCGTTGACGCGAATCTTCACCCTCTTCTTCTGCTTCCTCCTCCATCTCTTCGCGGAGAAGGGATAGTCTGTGAATTTCGGTAGTACCAGAGAGCGAGCAAGAAAGAGAGAGAGAGAGAGAGAAAGAGTGAGTGAGAGTGGAGCTCGACGAGAAAAGCCAGTTCTCCTCTTTGGAGTCGCGCCGTCACCTTCGAAGACATCGCACATCTTCAGGAAATAATCCCCAAGAGAGTAACTTAGGTACGAAGGACGCTGATAATACGAAAAAAAAAGTCACTCAGAGTACTTGACAAGTGCGAATAAAGAAAAAGAAAAAAAAAAAGAATACAAAAATCTCTATGGACGAGACATCCGGGATCAGCGTGACTATAACATCATATACAAGTCAAATTAAATATTTCTTTTTGCGAGAGATCGATCTCCTTTATCATAATACACATCAGCCTTCTATCACAGCATGCTGACCCTTGACGCCCTATACGTAACTACCTGTTTTCACTGAATGACCCATTTCTACAACGCTTCTCGTAGACGGACAAGCCTAAGATTTTGATACATTGACAGACTGGATAGCAGTTACGTATAATTGTCTGCAGTTTAACTGTGAACTAACATAATTGGGATTTTTGTCGGATTAATTGAATGAAAAGAAGATTGTGACTAATCGCGTATAACGATAAGAAATTACACCATGTGACTCTGACGGTTTTTGATCATCGTTATCATCGTGTTGAAAAAGCTTTGACTCTCTCTTTCTCTGTATGAGGTCCTCAGGTACAGTGAAGTGTGGACGAAATGCGTGGAGTGTTTTATAAAGGATATAGCGGCGGGCAGTGGGACGCGATAAATAAATGAAATAATCTGGATGACGTCCAAAGGGATCGAGAAACAATCGGGTCATTAGATAAAGAAATTTTGTAATCGATATCGACCATTCGCAAGTGACGATGGGTAGTAGGGCTAAATTTGGCGATCAAGAGTAGCTTGCTCGACGCGCGGCTGCTTCTTGCTGTTGCGTTGCGTACGTTAACGCGTTGCGTAACATCGAAGCAAAGCAGGGCTGTGTTGCGTTTCGAGCTGAGAACGTTGCTAAAATAACATTTAATGAATCGGACAGTAATCCGTTGAGTTATGCACAATAAATAATGTCCTAGTTAGTACCAGTGATTAGGTTAAGGAGTAAGAGTTTATACGAACAGAGTATATCTAACGTTTTAAACTGGGATTGAATATCATTCTTGGCAATAATACAGACAATGGAAATACTAAAAGAGAGAGAAAGAGAGACAGAGAGGGATAGAGGGAGAGAGAGCGATAGAAGGCTTGATAGAATGACGACTGTAACCCTCTTGAGAAATTCCTTCTTGCATGTTCATGAACATGGGAGAGATGAGTCAGAATTGCAAAAGTGCTAATATTGCTCAAGTGACCAGCAAGTAATGCGCGCTTTACTCGCTCTGGTTTGACACTGAAACCTCCGTCCACACCGGACTTCTTACACCCTCGCAGTACTTGGTCTATTTAAAGAATCTGGCGTTATCGAGATTCAAGCGCAGTTAATTAACCCCAGACTTTGTAAGCTATGCGATTGCATTTGCTAAATTAATTGCTAATATCAGTTGCCAAAAACGTTTTGTATGTCACGTGCAATACCTGATACTCGTGGTACAAGTAAATTAGATTGAACCACCTGAGATAATATTTCTTCACTAAATTTCATGCAGGTACCAAAGCTATATTTCTTTCGCTCGTAATTTCAAAGAAAAACAGAGACGATCTCTGAGTACAATTTTTAAACCGGGCTAATATTGAACTGTGCTAATTTTTGGAGGTTAGATAATTTCACGCTTTTACTACTAGCTGCTCGTGTTGTGCTCCATTAAAAAATAGGACTGGATAAATAAACTTGTTTTCCCATAATAAGATGTTGTACGTTGACAAGGAATCCAGCATCCTGGTGAAAAGAACGATAGATTCCGAAACGGATACGTGATGGGTCGTTGCCAAGTCTTACGGGTATACCGGAGAGTCCATTTCATTGTGCTGAATGGGTAGAAACTTTTGTAGAAGCTTAGAACTATCTTCCTGGCTACTTGTACTCCCAGTAGAAATCTCTATTGTTTGTCCAAGACGATCCACGAAGAGTCATTGTAAGGAGCTGTAGATTAGAAGCTTGCGATTCTTCTCCAGGACGATGACTTTTTAAATACCACTGGGATAATCGATAATGCATCGGTCGAAAGTAGGATGGTGTTTCTTGGCGGCGAAAAGAAGGTGGGCGTCCGGGGCTCCTTCGAGGTCCGAGCCAGTTCGGTTCACGGGCACCAAATTAGATGCGGTCTATTTTTATCGGACACATAGCGGTCCCCGTTCCATTTTACCAGCAGCGAACAGGGCTCCCAACTTAACTCTGAGCTTTTCGAAATGCTGACTTGCGAGCTTTTCCATGTATTTGCCCAAAAAATTGGCACGGACGGTTATCTGCGCTTGATGTTTTCATCCTGGTCGTCAATGGGCAGATTGAATGAATGATACTTAACGTAAAGCGAATAATAAGGGACTAAGGTACTGAAATGGAGAATGATAGAATTTTGGAAAAAAAAAATTTTTTAAGAATTTTGAACTTGAATATTACTTACAGATCATACGAGGATTTCTCCTTTGGAAGATGTCCAGGCCGATACTGAGCAGGCCGCGCACCCGGGTCTATGGCTGCAATTATGACAAGGGCGAGTCGTACTACAAGCCCATGGTGGATCATCTAGACCGGAAGTACAGTGGAAGGCCTCTGTTTCCGGAGCCACGTAACAGCTTCGCCGATGAGATAGCTGCCCGCCGTAGCGACATCGGTAACCTCTTCAGTCGTTTTCCAAAATGGTTTTGAGGAATGGCAGTGATCGTTATCAGTACCACCCATACTCCTTTTCCTGTTTGACCAATGAGAATTCACAGAGGGAATGCCCTCGACTGTTTTCAGAACAATTGATCATACTTCCTGTTAGTCAAAGTGTTTCCTGAGCACACTTAGTTTACAGTTTACAATTTACAAGTGACAATTTTACAATGAACAACAGAGAATGCAAAATACCCATACCCTATTTATCTGTGCTTCATGGTTGGCCGTTGAATCACTGGGAATGAAATGTCTTTTGAAAAACTTTGAACTTGGTGCAATCTATGATTATGCATACGCGTACATATATTCTCAATGCTCCTGAGGCTTCACCAGAATCACATATATGTAAATTAGCACGTGTCCAGAAACTTATTAGTGTCTATACTTTTAAACGTTATCCATAATCATTGTATATCCATATCAGACTGTTGAATAAATACCATGGATTCCCATTGTTCTACGATCTCGAACCTCTGACTTTATGCCGACTAAAGTACAGAAAAGAAAAAGAAAAAGAAACATGGTGGATCCCTTTGTGTGCTAAGAAGATTTGTCGTGGATCCGCATGTCCCTACCTCTGTCACTACCATCCAGTGGAAATGACCTGCCTGAGATTGTAAGACTGTCTCCTGAGAGGACGAGTGAAACGTTCTTATATAGTCAGCAAGGTGTAAATGTCTGACTCCAGTTTTTTCGTGAACAAGAGAAAAAGTCATAAAGTCAATCAGTATACGACCTTGACCCACTTCGACGTGGAGGAAGTCTAGAAAATTGAGACACTCCCCCAGGAATTACCAGGGAGACTGTTTAAGCGATGCTGCTGAGCTCAATATAGATTCTTAAGTATTCCTCGGTTACAGGAAGCCGTGACCTGGCCGGTACGCGCACCAGCTCCTTCGGCCGTGACCTAGACTTCGACCTCGACCCTCGACCCCGACCCCAAACCTCCACGGACTCCCTTGACGACGAGGAGACCGTCTTCGACATCCGCGGGCAGCGCACCAGGCGCAAGTTCGCCGACGACTTTGCGTCCGAGGTCGCGGCCACGACTAGACGTTTCAAGGCTCGAGTAGCCGCCATAGGATTCGACGAGGATTTGGAGAATAATCGCAAACCACGCTTCGAGCCTGATGACAAGTTCCCGGACAGCTATTCCACTCGGGCACGGACCGCTCTCGAGGAGGCCGACGCAGCCTTCAAAAGGAGATCAAAGTTCTTATCCGAGGAAGACAAGGCTGAGGAAAAGAGTGGCATAACCAAATGGTCGAAACTGGCTGGTCTGGAAGAGGACGTTCCCAGCGGTGCTGCTGTCAGGGCTAAGCAGACGAAGGCGAGGTTGAACGACCTGGAATCTGAAATGGAAGAGCTAGCTGAAAGGCAGGCTAAGAGAGAACAGAGGGTCGCTGCCCTTAGGGGATTGGTGAATGAGACAGCCCAAGCCAACGAGGAACAATCCTTTAGCAGCAGCAGCAGCAGCAAGAAGTCAGCAGTTCGTTCGGAACGATCCGAGAAACATGTCAGCTTCTAGGGCCACGATCTCCACGATTACATTAATTCTACTTCGAATTACCATCTTCGATTGTTTATCTTCCGTCTGCCACTATCTACGGTCCTGGTGTGATTTTACAGGTCGTTTCATGAAGTATCGGAACGACCCAACCGGCCATTCTGAACTCTCCTAGGCAATTGAATTCTCTTGGAGACATCGTTTATTGTTCTCTTCTTTTTTTAAATTCCCCTATGTACACCTCGCTGTGTGTTTTAAGAGATAAATAAATATTGCTCTCTACGTGTTACACTTGCATAGTAGTATTTCCCAGTAGCCCTGTCGTTATGCTTTTCATCCTATCCTGGCATGCCGTACCCTGGACTGCAAAAAGGTGAGCATTCTATTGAGCTATGCTTCAGGGACAGACTAGAAGCTCTGAAGCTGGATGAACACTTACTGATCAGTTCTTCAATTTTAGGATCTCGTAACCTGGCAGGAACCAGGAACGATTCAATGGAGGATATAGATCTTCTTCACGATGCGCGTGGCCGTCCAGTTCCTGAGGACACTTTCGAAGACGATTTCGTATCCACTCATCGTCGTTTCAAGGAACGTGCCGCAGCAGCCTTCGAGGACGATCTGGCTGAGCTACGCCGCAAACGGAGAGATATGCAGGTTAAAAAAGCATCCCAGATGGAATCCTAATAACAGAAAGAGATATATAGATCATTGCTAACAAATTGTATATTTATTCATGTGATGAAATAACCTGTCGTTCGAGTGTTTCCAAAACCTTGTCAGTCCGCCAAGATTAAACCAGTGGCGTTTCCATGACTTTCAGGACAGGATGTTCGACATGATAGACATAAACGCTGAGATAGAAAGGGCCAAGAATACCTTGGAGGCAGCCGGCACTGCCTTCCAGAGACACGCGACGAAATTCGACAACGATGAAGACCTGAACGACCTCCCATTGTCGCAAAAAATAGAAAGGAGCCGAAAGCTCGCCGTCCTGGATCCAATAGAGAAGCCCAAGCCTAAGATGCCTTCGATTAAATGGACCAAAATGCAAGAACAGGACGAGGGTGATTCTGAAAAGTTTATGAGGGCTCGACAGGCCAGGATCAATTCCCTGATAGCTGACAATGTCCTTACCGAAACTCCAGGAGAGAATCAGCCAAAGAGAAGGTCTTCCTTCCTTAAGAGAAAGAAGAGCGTGTCCTTCTAAAGGATCACGAGCTCTTCCAGGATAAAGAATATCACCCTACTGTATGAAAAATCTAAAGGATATTCCACGGCTTTGCGCTCCTGTCAAAAAACGTTGCTCTCTCTCTGCCGCGCGATGTCAGTCTGTAAATGTAAATATTATCAGCAGGCCGAATAAAGAATCAGAGTAGTAAGGCAAGGCAAAGTTCGCAATCATCGTGTGGTTAATTATTGGGCACCTAATTAGCGTATAAGTAAACCAGAATAGCGTGTCAAAAGGAGATTTCGCCACGTCCCCATCTGCCTAAGCTGTCAATGGCAATAACTATTAATAGCGAGTACCAGACACCAATCAAATGCTTTGGTACAGGACCAACCAACTAACAAGCTTATTATATTAAACAATTATCTTGACGTATTAATCAGCCGTTGATTGATATTTTCATAAATCTGCACAAGTCCAACGTTTGGTATGAGGCCAAGAGGAATGATTTATTCTTGAAAGTTGAGAGAACAGTCCCAACTAAGAAGCGTCTAATGTCACACAGCGTGTGGCACGCCAAGACAATGGCTGCTCATTTTACTTAATTTCTTCTAAAAACGCATGCCAACTGGACGGCTCCATTTCTTTGAGCTTGCTGACTAATCACTCAGGATTTCCCACCGCGAGAACAACTAAGAGCCCACTAATATTCCTACGGCTATTAAAAGAGTGCTACAGAGCTATCCATATTAAGTATTTATATTTTCTTCACGGTCCAGGGTCTAAACGCACCCTTTCTGCAAGCACAGTACAAGAAGAAGACAAGCAGTATCGATATTCCACTGAAAGTATCGATACCCAGTGAAATCACTTTTATGATTTTAGGGATGAATCCAGATGCACTATGTGGAATTGTCAGGTGTTTTGGTACAGACCCAGTGTGGCAAGAATTATTATAGCAAGTTGTGTGCCAGATCCCCACTTCGTGTATCTAGCGATGCTTAGGACAGTTGGTTTTGAAGGGAGGGCGAGTCTTATAAGCTAAAATAAAAGCGAAACAAGGCAAGGAACCGGGAGTGGTGAGGCGAGTGGCACTCGTTGCCAGAGGGTGTTTTTCGACAGTCAGTCATTCAGTTGGATACACAGTCAGTCGGTTAGTCAGCCCGTCAGTCAGTAAGTCTGTGAAGGTGCTTCGTACTTCAAAGAGCGGCTAACTTTTCCAAAAGGTAGACAGAGTGTGTAATTACAAATGGAAAGCCTATATGTTAAAGAAAAATTCGTCCTCCTGTTCTTATCATTAAAGTGTATTTAACTACCGAGTGATATCCATCCATTAAGTCACGCTGATGCGATTCTTCAGGGGATTCAGTGCTATTTCTATCTGAGGGTCAAAGCCTGTCAGTCAACAGTCTCGAAATTAGCGGCGGTTTTGAAAAAAACAATCTTAGATTTACACATAGTCGTGTCATACGTTACATTTCCTGGTCTTCTTCTACAGTGGCATTTATTTCACTTCATTTCCTTCCCTCAATTTACTAACCAGAGTAGGTCGACGAATCTTGCAGCATGGCCGAAGCGGATTCGCAGTACATTTACAGCTGTGCAGTTAGAACATCGTCAATTACTTATCCTAACGAGGATAAAGGTTTGTTCAAAAATAGAAAACTTACCAAAGATTCAGTACAATAATCAAGCTCAGGTGTCTTTTCATTAAGCTTTCAGTAATATGCTTATTATCTTATCAAGCTTTAACCACAGCTTTACTTTCACTCACTCGCAGTGGAAATGTCCTAAGGATATTCCTTGATAACTGCCAGCTGCATAATGTGTAGTTACTGCATTCCTTATCCTGCGAGTCCGCGCACCAAACTAAATAACCAAAATCATTGTGCTGTTTAAGCAACTTAAACGTGGCGTATACAGGTACCAATGATAAGTACATTGCTTTCCTTATTGCTCGGCACTGCGTAAATATCATTAACCTTCTTGTAAAGTTTTCCCAACATTCTAGAAGTCAAAATGTTCGATGACGAGCCACCATCATGGGATATCGAGGAACCAACTCCGGAGGAAGGAGTAAAGCCAGCAGAAGGTACAGGGGAGGAAGGGGCACCTGGGGAAGAAGGCGCAACAGGGGAAGTGCCACCGGAAGAGGAAGGTCTTAAAAAGCCCAAGTACAATCACCATTGGGTCCGACCATTGTTCCTTAACTATGGATATCTCTACGACTACAGGTAATTCTAAACTGTCAATAATATTACTTCTACAGTAGAGAAATTAGAACACTATCTAACCTTTTACAGTACGTTTGAAGTAAGTTAGTCTGGTTGTTTATGTTTTATAATATTACAGAGTATTATTTATTTTTAGGAAAAATTATTACGATGACGTAATCGACTACATGGACAGGAGACAGAAGGGCTTGTTCCGTGACCCACCTAGGGCCCAAGAATGGGCCGAGAGGGCCATGAGGACTTACGACGCCAAGAACACTAACAAGAGTGGAAAGAGATCGGCTGACATGCGACTGATATCACAACTGAGAACTACCTCGAGATACTACAGCTATCATACTCGAGCTTACTACAGTCTGAAGTATCAGAAGATACTTTGAAGAAGAAAACACCAAAGAGGCAATATCAAGCATAGATTAGTAACGAGAAACGGTGAGACCATGAACTTGGTAAAGAGTAGTAACTTTAACCGCAGTGAGAAAGAAAGATTGAATGAAAATAAGTGTTAACAGCATTTTGTATGGTCTCACGGTTGTCTCAGCCACTCCTCGACCTACCGGAGAAATAATCTCTCAAAATTTTGAGAGACTGTTTTTTTCTCAGGAAACAATAAAAGCGAAAAACATAAAAAGGCAAACGAACTCTGTGTGTACATATATGTATAAATATATATACACAAACAATTATTAACTTGACTGCTAAAGAATTTTCTGTAGGTTAAATGTCCGTGTCTCTAGACGATACGCTGCATTGACGTGAGAATATCAATAAAGACTTCTTCTTCTAAGGATAATACATGCGCTTTTTTAATGCGTTGACTATACGCATACCAAATTATCCTTTAGTGTCCTAAAAAGAATCCTTATTATGATACGATAAAAAGGAATACCGCATTAGTTTTGATATGTTATTATGATATAATAACGAGGAATACCATTAGAACTCCTTAAGGGTTTATTTTATCTTAGACTGGGACAACACGTTGAACGGGTATAATGTCAACACTTTAATGTAGTCATGATTCTGATACACAAACGGTTTTTCTCCTTTTTTGTTTATAATAAACAATTATTATTAATAACTATTGTTTATCGTAAATATATTTATGTACGTTGTGTGTTTGTGTCTGTTACTTTTTATGTATGTATATATATAGATTTTATTTTTCATTTTTTAATGTAAGACGCAAAGCAAAACCAAACTTTTAACATCTCGGTATCATCATATACATAAATATATCTTGCCGGTGCTCAACTCTCGACATACGACACGAGAGAACCCTTTAGTCACGACCGCAACAATAATAATAATATACGAAAGTAAAGAAGACACAAAAATAGGCAAAACGGCAATTCATAAAAAGAAATAAAAGGAAATGGAGCACGATGCAACTGAAATAAGGACCAGACTATGAAAAATACCTAAGGAGCTACAGGATTGATAATTAAGTGAAAAAAAGAAAATTATTCTGCTTAACCACTCACTTATTGCTAGCACCATGGCATACTTGTTTTCATAATAGCATTTAATAATAGTAATAATTATAGCAGTACTATAAGATATCACGGTTCTCCATTGGCCACATGTGTGTACATACAAGTGGAAAATGATGTACACGTAATGAGAAATAACAAAAATGATATAACTAATACTAATAAAACATCAAGAAAGAATGAAATTATCAAAGGAGAGAGGTAGAGAGAGAAAAAATTCTGTCGACAAGATAGACACTATGCCAAAGAGAGGATGGATGCTGAATATTTATCAGTAACGAGGAAGATTTGCCTTTGAAAGTAAAAAAGGGAATAAAACTCCAAATTAAAGAGATTTCTGATTGCATAGAGTTACACTAGATAATATCAGGGTGACAGCGAAAGGTGCTCCAAGGCATCGGTCAAGACATTGATTCATTGATACTCAATTCGAAGACTTTTTTGAATTCTATTCGTACCACAGCGATGACAATTAATCCTACTGGTATCAATGGACCAAATGCAATCTTTGAGAGAGACAAACATACAGATAGACAGACAAACAGACAGATACTCGAGACGATGCAGAAAAATTGTAAATAGTTAAAAGGAGAGTATTCTTTAGAACCATATTTCATGGGTAAGACCCAGTTATAAGATAATGGGAAAGTTTAATCTGCGTAATTGGCTCGTGAGAATATCTCACAGCGTTAATTATTATTTATTATTATTTATCACCTCGCAGTGCTATAGATTTTCGTACACTCAATCGTCTTCGCTACTCTTTAGTCTCTCAAATCTCATAACACAAATTCGCACTCGCTTCACGCTACCATACATTACACTGTCGTCTCCCCTGTTCAATTAAGTCACAGTAACATACTCATCGGGTCATATCGATTCACGCGAAATCGAGTAGAATTACCGACATAACTTTGATAACATGTATTTATAATTGTTAACGCATGCATTTATTTATAATCGAAAGAAAGTCGGCACGATTATACGTAAACTGAACGATATCTGGAAAAAAGCAAAGGCTCGCTGAAACTTTCAAAAGTCCCCCTTATTTGTGTCTCCTGGCGTTCATGTTTATCTTCTCTTTTCTCAATCTCTCTAATCATCTACTTAATTAACGCATATACAATTTTGATCTTATCACGTATCTCGTCCTCCTTCCGACATAAACATCCTTTGAGTCTCGTTGAAAGTTTTTTTTATGTAAGAAACAGCACGATAATGCAAAGCATGAAGAATTGAATATAAGTTGTCTTTAATTTCTACCTGAGAAGATAAAGAACACTAACAAGATAAAGAGTATCGTCTCTAGATCATACCTTGAAACATGCACGCAAATAATACTCATTTAACTATCACTCCCCTTTCAAGTCCCATCAGATAGTTTGATTAGATATTTTATATAAAAAGGCCAGAACGTGTAGTGTATCGTATGTATATCTAAGTATATCTGTATCTTGTATCAGTGTATGAATATTGCGCATTTATTTTGTAAATTCTCTGCCACTATTGTTTTATCTGTATACCATGTGTACTTTGTGTCATTCCCTGTCTCTCTGATAAATTCTGCCCTCCATCGCTTCTCAACCCTTATACTTTATCATTTCATTAACTTGCTTCTTAATTCGTTCTTTCTTTTATTTACTTTCTTCAATCATCTCCCAAGTAAGTCACACGTTATCGCAAGGTAATTGAATTCGTCATTCCTTCCATACTTTCGGTAAACACTGCTGATATTTTTTACTTATTGCTTTCGGATTAAAGGTATTACAAAGGTATTATACGTGACGCCTAAGACTCTTGCCGCTAACTCTGCTTTCTGTTTTATTTTATTTTGTATTCCTTGGGAAACTGATCACGTGCAGTACCTTCAACATTTTTCAAGGTACAAGAAAACTATCCGTAAATATTCAAATTTCCTCTTATCACTGTCTGTCGTCAGTATAACAATGGAAGACACAGCCCAAACATAATGGTAAAGGTGGGAGGTCCCAGTAGTAACTGACAAAAGTTTCAGAAAAGCCGCGAGACGTCACATTATTTTTGGTTTAACATTTAATTCCTTTTGTTTTTCCTTTTCAAACTCACCCAGCCCCTCTCAAACCTCATTCGATTGCGTCACGTGACATTCGAATATAGGAGAAAGCACTTTGTCGCGAATATCAGAAATTTCATTTATACAATATATCATTAATTTTTAGCCGTTACTTCAAAACCTTTTTTTTTAAATTTTTTGTTTCACCATTTTTAACGATATATCATCAGACTCATGCACACGCATTCTTCTATCTCTCGCACACATGTATTCACTCAACTTTCTCTCAATTCGTCGTAATGTTTCGTCATATTTTTCTCATTTATTTTTTCCTCCACTTCTTCCTTCTCGACTTCATCTTACTCATACTTTCTCCTCCCTTCGTCGTTTAATAACGTTAACTTTAGTGAGGTTATTCATTGTATCTCGTTAATACATTTCGACGTTATAGATTAGAGTAAGACGTTATACGTAATTAAATTCATTATGAATTAATCGTTAATGAGCAATAGACAAATAGATGTACAGCATTTTCTTTTTTCTTCTTTCTTTTCTTTCCTTTTCCTTTTTGCTCGCATTTATAATAATAGTTAAAGAGAAAGACGGTATACGATAATACTAATAAAACGCAAGTGAAAGAGAAGAGCAGAAGTTTGCGATTCTCTCCCCCTCGGAGTGGCGCAAGCATTTTGCGAGCATATACGAGCGAAAACGAGAGAAAGAGAGAAAGATAAGATAGGATATTATAGATATAAGGAGCTTAGAGAGGATCGCACTCCAAAGAATAATCGTACGCCTATTTCGTAGTCTAAAGGATTTCTGGTGAAGGGATCCGCCCGTTGAGAAGTTTCACGTGGCGCCACGAGCGGAGGACTCTGTAGGCTCAAGATCAAGAGTCCGACATAAGAGCAAAGTCGCTCCGTCCACGTTGCCAATGATTTGATGAATTTTAAAAGAATGCAGTTGAAAGTAAGGCAATAGAGATTGTCCATTTCCCACGTGTCCGCATTTAAATGGTGCTTTACCGAAAACCACCGAGGAGCAATTAATTCAGTACAGTGCATAGCACCACCCCACCATCCGCTTGCCTGTGTTTACCACTCACTAGCCACGTTCCAAACTTTGATACTGAGGAAAATTACGTGGTTGGACAAACTCTATAGAGTAAAGTACCTCTGGGATTAATATAACGGAGCAATAATGATTTAGGAAAGAAAAATCAAGAAAATAGTTCAAGGAACATAAGTGGGAATAGAAAGATATATATATAAAATTCAAGGTATCAAATAGTAAACCATTTTTCAGAAAATAAAAATCAAGAAATTATGTAAATCACAATATTATGTTACAGATGAGGTTCTCAAGACCCTTGTGAGGCAACAGGTTCTAGAATATTATTTTTGAAAATATCGCGAGAGCTCCAATCTCGAAGGGTCACCTAGGGACGCGAGCATGGCACCAGGCACTCGTACTCTCTTGTGCAGCGAGGCACATGTATGTATGTACACGTTTTCACGTAACACGCAGCGATACAAGCCGTCAGTGACAAATGTATACACAGGCGGCCCCTTGAAACTCTCGAGAAAGATAAATCTCTTGAATAAGGAAAATAAAAACCACATGGTTTGAGGCGAGGATGGGCTGTGGCGGGATCGCTCGTATTTTTTGTATTCTTCTTTTATCCTCATTAAATTACTCTTTTTTTTTTGTTTTAAATAATAATAACGCTCATAATTAAGGGAAACGATACTATCGCGTTATATCCAGCGACGAAAAATCATCCTCAGATGTAGGAAATAATTCCACATTAGATCTAGAAGCTTTTCAGTTACGAAGAACTGGGATCATTCTTCGTCGCACTGAGTTACAAGGTTGATTTTCTTGCTACTTAAAGTTTTCGGCCGGGATGCCGATTATTTTTATTATTATTATTAATATTATTATTAACTGTATAAGTCCGGTGCCGAGGATAACGAGAATAGACGGAGCGACCGGGACTAGTCGTGTCGACTAGCTTGCGGTGTGCGCAAGCGCCGTGGGCCCAGCGGCCTCGGACGGTTCGGGCCCCGATCCAACCGTCGGAACCAATCTGATACGCACGATTCCGTTGGCTCCATCGGTTGGCTCGGTCATTCGACACGATCCACACAAGAATCCAGATACATAATAAAGGACTCACAGAGGAGCCACGTCCAATTTTGTAAACGAAAAGATAAACTGGGATCTTACCGGATTTGCATATTGGGAAACGTTCTTCATTGAGGAGGGGGGGGGGGGGGCTTAAATAATGGGAATCGTAGTGGACGTGAACCCTCTACGAGGAGTATGACGTTGACGAGAGTTCTCTGGCTCAGGTGGGACTTGCATCTTATCTAGCCGGGGCCCGATTCGGGGTCGCGACCATCCTCAGAGACATCCTGCGTCCGGGGCCTCACTGGGCCTGTGCACTAGGATCGCACTGCAACAGTCGCACTATGGACGGGTCGCTCTTCGCTCCCTCTATGAACTCGTCCAGTGAGAGCTTCCCGTCCTTATTCTTGTCCATCTGACGGAATATCTTGTCTGTCCTCTTTTCCGGCGTCGACTCGTCCTCTGGCATCTTCATCACCGTACCCACCATTTTGTATATCGCCTACAATATGAAAATAGGCACTACAGTTTCGCACAGGATCATCCCCCTTAGTAAGGTACAATTAATTCAATAATCGAATCTTCGTCAGAATCCTAAACGTCGCTTTTCCCTCGACACAATATCTTTCATTGAGAAGAACAATAATTATGTCAGAAGTTCAGGAGCGTCGTTGAAGGTCCAAAACATGATCCACGATGACATCAAAGACTCACTGTGACAATTTCCAGCATTTCCTGTCTGGATATATAGCCGTTGCCATCCAGGTCGTACATACTGAATGCCCATTTGAGCTTCTGCTCCAGCTTTCCACGCGAAGTGACGCTCAGGGCGCATAGAAACTCCCGGAAGTCAATGGTACCGTCTCCATTGGCATCGAATGTCCTGAAGACGTGCTCTGCAAACTGATCCACAAGCAATCTCAGACTTATTATCAGGCATTTTATTATCATGGCAGTGAGAAATATCAGATATATATGCAAATAGATAGATTAAAGACAGAGCGCACGCGCGCGCACATCAAGAAAGCAAGATATGGTGTGAGAATTTCTATAGGGAACAAGTAATTCGCTGTACGCGTACCAGAGTAATTAATTTTACTTAATTGCGACAATATGACAAGTGCACAATATGATAAGTGTGACAATATATAATTATTATATGCTGTAAAATATCTTCAATAATTATAGGCATCATGCATATCGCAGTTACGCATCGGCTTGCGTGCTTCTTCATCATATGTTAAGTACTTTGGGATCAATACTCCTTGAGCCAGTGGTTCTCCAGGCGTTATTAACCATAAAGCGTGACGGGGGTGTGTTAGCTGACAGTGAAAAATGTAAGGGCGAAGGAAAATAATACGTGAGAGAAGAAAAATAATACAATGAACAAAATGGATATGGAGGCAGATTGATAGATAGAAGTAGAGATTCTTTCTTGTGTAGAAACACTGATAAATAATATAATTCAAAAAGAGAGCAACGTATAGGCATATAATGATCATCAGTAAAGATTATTTAGTGATAATTATTCGCGGCATGCCTTGTGATTAAGAATCCTTTACCTTCGTCCACGGTGTGTACAATTGACAAGTAGAAACAAGAGAAATACATATATGAAGAGAAGGAGAACATCTTTTTATTTGCTGGCTATGTATAATCAAATCACGAGGTACCCTTGTCCCTATGTCCACACCATTAAATTATTAAAAGTAATCGATATGAAAAGTTCCATTGAAAAATTCCATACTCCACAGTATGAATATGCTAGAACAGTCGGGGACGCTTGTAGAAAAGCTCACCTTAGAAGCGTCTCCGTAGGGGAAGAAGTTTCCATAAATCTTTTTGAATTCCTCGACGCTCAGATGTCCGCTTGGACAATCCTTAAGGAATCCTTTGTACCACTCTTGAATCTCTGCATCTGTAATAAAAGGAAATCAGGTTATTCATGGTTTGTATTCATTGAAAAACACACTTAACGACGCAGGAGGTAAATTATACTAGTGTCTATGAAATTAATTGAATGACAAAATATTAAAAATCTTTATTTAATTATTACCTGAGAACTCGGTGTTCTGTTTGAGGTCTTCCAGGACTTCAGGCTTGAGTTTACTATTCTGTTTACCCATCGCTGCTGTTTCGGATCCCCCAAAGCCCGCCTTGGTGGGTCCTCGGCTACCTTTAAATATTTAACTGCTACCTAGCCTACTAGCCTACGTTCGCTTAGACGAGTAACCCTGAATCCTCTCGTATAGGGGCAGCCAGGTGGCCCTGAAAAAAAAGAAAAATCATCACCACCTATTATAGAGCTCTCTTGGGATTTTATTGTGGCCCTTCTGATGGATAATAGAGGTAACCATAAAGGCACTACACCACGGGGAAAGTAAAAAGCTTGACGATACAAGAGGGAGAATACAACAAAAAAAAAGACAGATAACACACAAGAAAATAAGAACATTAAAAACACTGAAGGAAATCTTAAAACTACTCATTCACACATCGTTACAATTCACACATGTTCGATAATTGATCTTCGTCGTCACGAAACCAAATCCTGCAACAGATAAAAAGAAAAGCAAATTCGTCAGGGTCAATGATAGCGGATTTAGAGCATAGTACGGTTTATTATAATAATAGTAATAATAGTAATAATAATTAATAATGTAGGTTGGTATCGGTGTTCTCGCCGTATGTAACCCACATACAAAATACGAGTTCTTATTTTTTTGTTCATCCTCCTTTTTCATTTTTGTAATGTTACTCCCATTATCCTTAAAAGATAGTATTATTTGTTAAGGTAGTAATTAATGCAATACAGTATATTTCCTTTCACTCTTCCTTTCTCGTGTATCATCTGCGCCCACCCTCCCATCATCCTTTCTCACTGTCTCTCTCCTTCCCTCTCACTCTCTCTCTCTCTCTCTCTCTCTCTCTCTTACCGTTCTGTTCTTACTTTCTCTAAATCGCTGTCGCTGCACTTAATGCGATTTGTTAGCATAATTCACGTACGCAGTGATGCGCGCGCGCGCGCGCCTGTGTATATGCATGGGTGTCATTTTTTTAATTACACGTTTCAATGTTACGTTTATAGCACAGGCTCCTATAGTTATTTACGGCTAGATTGTATCTCTGTGTTATGCAGTTCACGCCAATTTATTATTTTTCCCCTCTTTTTAAAAGAAGAGAATGGAGGAGTAGAAGAATAAAAGAAAAAATAAGAAAATGGATTAAACTAAGGCGGAGGGAGGGGGGGAGTGCTTGAAAGAGAAGCAAATGCAGATACAAATAGAAAGATTGAAGTTCTGTTCAATTCTCCAGAGGAATTCGAACGGAGGAGAGATTACAACAACAATAACAATACTTGTTACAATTAATAGTAGTTATAATAATAATCTGTTCTCTCCTACCGAATCCTCCTCGAGATTCTATTATATCTTTAAACCCTTTTTTACACGCTTGCTCAAACCTTCTGGTTCTAGTTGGTCCACGAGTAAAATGGCTTAAGGTGACAGATAAAAAACTACAAAGTCCCTAGCACGTAACCTGTTCGCATAATACATTCACGAGAACGTTCTAGAAACTTCGAATTATTTTTCATCTGTTACTGCAAAGCTCTTTTACACGTGAACCGCCGTATATACTTATATGTAATATATAATATACAAAACATATGCAATCTTCATTATCGGGCGATACAGTTATTCGGGCGCGGCAGCATACAGAGACACATAGTTATATAACATTAGTGGCAAATGGTTGTTGAGACTGTAGCAAATTGTAGCTTGAATATTATTTTTCATCAGATTATCCTGATTGCATGTGAAACGCATCAATGTTATCTGACTTTACACGAGGCAACATGAGGGATTTGATATTATTGTTGTTTCTGTCGTTATTATTATTACTCGCCGAAGTGTACAAGAGTGGTTGGTATCCTCCAGCTTCAGTTTCATTCCCAAGCACGTTTCAAGACATTTTCAATCATCCAGCGAAATCGGCAAGGATTATCATTAACGATTATTAGCTATTGTAATGACACTGTTTAATCATACATATTGACGCAGTAATATCGCCAAGCGGTACGAGAAAAGACAATATATTTGCGTGCGCGAAGAATAATCACTAGAACTTTTAATTGTTGTTCTCTTTTCTTTATTATAATTCATTAGACGTTTCATATCTTTGCGAAGCAAGTGAATGTAAAATATTATCACTGAATTGCCCTTCCGGTTTTTTTGTTTACCCTATAGCTACACATAGCGGATAAACGTGGGTGTTCTGTCGATTCGTTGATGAATTTTCGTTTGTTCTACTTGTTTACTTCTTCGAATTAACATTTTCGTGTGGTACTTTTTTGGATGGCATAGTGAAATGAAAGAGTGATGAATTATATATTCAGAAATATTCGACGCGCATATTACATGAGAAAACTTTGTGCTTACTGGCTGCGAAGAGAAATAGAGAGCTACTATATTATTATGTTACATTATGTGCAATAAGAAATACATTGATTAGACATAAGGTGATGGGTGGGATAGTAAAATAGATTGGATAGTGGAGATAAAGTTGTGAATGGGAAATGAGAATATTGAAGTAAGGGATGCGTTATTAGTATAGATAAAATGGAGGGGCTATGAGAAATAGGAGAAACTAGAGAAGGGTACGGATGGTTATGAGGGATAGATAAATGGATAGATCGAGAGAGAAATATAGGAGGGAGTAGAAAAATATAAAATTGCAAGAATTGCACAAGTGGCTCAATTAATCATTACTTTGCTTCGTAGTATTATTATTTTTTTCTTAAATTGACTCTGCGTTCCATTGCATATCCCTTTATCTGTCCTTCGATACTCATTCATCTTTGCAACCTCTTTTTCCCTCTTATTTCTTAACGGTCTCCTAAGGAAACCTTTATCCATTATTATTCAGCAAGAATCTATACATCCAAAGTCCTCCACTGATCAATACCTCAGCTCTCATCAGTTAGGCTGTCACGCATGAAGCAACACATACGTGTGGCCTAATGAAAAGTGGCAAAAAATTGCAATTTACGAAATCCCAAACCTCCTTCAAATATATTCTAAGGAATCTCCGCAGAATTCGTTCACACGAGAAATTCTATTAATGGATTGTCAAATGCTCGACTTTCTGATCGAGGAAGGACTCGAGAAGTTTCATATAAGTTCGCCAGTGAGAAATCGATGGAAAGAATTGACATGGCCGTGTCCATTAAAGGGGTTATATACCTTATACCATTACAGTATACGCTCAATGCGTAATGGGTAATGCTTGATGCGTGGATGCGTAATGCCTTTCAAGTGTTTACTATAAACACGACGTACTAGATCAAATATGTTATATACAGAGAATCGACGGATCTCTTGCTTTCTTATTTTTCTTCGAACCATTTCACATTTTTCCGTTTCTTAAGTATCCTTCTACGCGCCTCTCACGTATTTCAACAGGCCGGCCGCTCGACTCCTCTTTCTCTCAATATATTTCCCTCTTTGCAAATTCACATTGTAATCGTTATAATCATTTGATTCCTTATTCATCTTTTATAATAATTTGATCGATATTTATTCACTTTCGTTAGTACGAAGGGACGCGAACGATATGTGACTAGCCTATTTACGCGATTACGTGTCTACCGTCACAGATTATAAATTAATCAGTGCCGTTGCACCGCGTCGTATAAATGCACATTTTTTTCGGACTTTTCAATTCTCTCCTTTTGCCTTCACGTATCCTACATCGTCACTGCGAGTTCCTTAGGCGAGTCTTCCTCTGCGAGTCGTAACGGTAGTAGAGCCAGTGGCAAAGTAGCGCTCGGAGACTTTGAAAAGATATTAAACATTTATGTGAAAGATAGTGATGCGATTGAAGGAAAAAGAAAAATTATAAATAAGTGATCCCATCCGTAGACGAAACAACGTGACAGTCATTGAGAAAGATTATTTATCGTAGTTTGAGGAAACGAAGCGACGATAACGATTATCTATTTGTCAAATAATCTGTGATCGATAGACACTTAGAGATCCCTATTAATTATTAAGACATGCAATTGGTCGAATTCTATCACTAATAGACACTAGTCTATCGTCTCGTTTAAAGTAACATCACCATTATCTCTCTGAAACTTCCGCTACGCCCTCTAAGACTTCTTTTTGTCTTCCTTTTAATCCGCTTGTCTCGAATCGTTAAACCGTTAAAATTTCTCCTTAACGAGTCTACTCATAATTAAGGATTAGACTAAAACATGACCGGTCAACGAGTAATACGTCGTCGTTGTCTTACTCGTTCATTCAAAGCATTATCATTATTATTAATCTCTTCTTCTTTCTCCCTTTCTCTTATTATTTTTCTCATGCCACGACTCGCTGACACATGTTTTTTCTACGTATTATGACATTCATACTGTAGTATTAATTATCCATCTACCTCAAGTGTGTATCTGCTCGAAATTTTAATTAGTCTTTCGATTAATAAAGAACTAAAAGAAATTCAAGACGAGTCAATAAAGAATACAAAGTTTATGTATTCATCGGTAAAAGAAGTAGTAGCATTCCTTTCGTTTTACAGTTTGGAAGTCCGAGAGTTCTTGACAGTCAATTTATGCGATTGGCAGAAAAAAGAACAAGAGAGAAAGTGAAGAGGAAAGAAAAGACGTGAAAGGATCGTATAGTGGAGCGAATAGCTCCGAAGGATCGTATAGCGAATACGTGTTATGTCGTTTTCATATAATTGGGACATGCGAGGACACGCGAGTCCTGTGAGAAACATGTAAATAAATAAATTCTCTCCGAGCAACGTGACTGAAGCTACTGTTGCTGTTGCTGTTGCTGTTACCCGAGAGAGAGAAGTACGTTCGTTGTTTCAGGATTACTGATTATCGTTATAACGTTAATTAACTGTCCATTAGTCATTAGCATCCAACTCTTCCCGTATTAGATTTGGCGTCGCCATAGCATAATGTATCCACGACTGCCAGCAACGCCATAAAAAATCCTTACGAGTTTGATCCAATAACGAGTAGTAGCAGGCCAGTTCATCCCACTGTCAGCAACAGTAGTTACCGACCTGGGATCATCATGGAACCGTGAGCTCTGACCTACATACGCGTATGGGCGTTGATAATTAGTCAATGGCCCCGCCATTAATTCTAATAAACCAGTCGTACTACCATTTTCATCAAGTGTCCACCGTATTAAAGTAACTCATTGGGCTTAAACACGTTACTGTTTTGTCATATAACGTAGCATTCGTCGAACGGTAACGTGTCTTGCAGTTTCTCTTGGTAACGATGAATCCTGCTGGCGGCTAATGACGAAAATGGTGTTTCCTGTTATGATTGGTGATTGCGGTCATGGTGATTGGTAGCGCTACTGTCTCGTCCTTCTGGCTTTCCTCCTGTTCCTCCAACAACCTCTAACCAAGTATCCAGGTACTTGATTAAGGTGCCAGCATTTTAGAGAGCTCCTCGTCTTGAAGACATCCCTTCAGGAACTCATCCTGCGTCAATTGTCCGTCGTTGTTCTCATCCATCTTGGCGAATATGTTCTTAGCGCGATCTTCAGCGCTGTCGGCAGGCCGATTGCTTGAGCAGGCACCCAGCATGTCGTATATCGCCTATAAACAATAAGAATAACAAGTATTACAAGCAGCGTCCATGACTCAAGTATCTATTAGAGGCGGTAGCCTCCTCAATTTTGCAAGGAAAGGTCTCATTTGTCTCTTGAGGAATTTCTGGAGAAATACTCGGTTCTGCAAATGGATGCTGACAAAGGGATGAGTAACCTAAGTTATCTTCATTAGGCTCGTGCAGACGTCTCGGAAGGTTCAGAAGATGAATAGAGACGATGTGGCTGAAACTGCTAGACATCACTGTTGCCCGTGCCTCACTGGAAAAGATTCCTTCTACTGATGCCCCTGATAATACCAGCGAGTAGTCCTCGGCATGGTGGTACTATTGAAATTCAAAGTGAAATTGCCATGCTTCATTGATCCTGCCTCATTGTTACAGGTCCCTTCTACTGAGATTCCCAGTGACAGTAGGACTCATTGCCTCATCTCAACGTCTACGTTGCCGATGCTCGCCGTGGTACTACTGATGGCGCTAGTAGTTCAGAAAAAAAATACAAGAAGAAGAGAAAGCGTCCTGTCCCGAAATGAAGTTTCTAAAAAGACTCGGGTGAGCTTGCGGATTTAGTGAATGTGGAACGTGGCCCGCCTTCTAGCCGCAACGTTAATTACTGTATTGTTCTGAGGATGCTGAGGGTTTTTCTAAAGAGAAAGAAAGAAAAAAAAAATGAAAACAAAAAAAGATTCCTCTGAGACCGTAACTGTGCTTCCTCTATCTTTCCTGGAAGAACGAGTACACAGGCGATTAAATTTGTACAAGAGGATGAAAAAAAGGGAAATAACTGAAAGGGAAATAATTTCCTTGCTTGGTCATCTTATGCTAGGTACGTCGTTTTAATGTGTCACGTGGGTGCATAAAGGCGTGCGCTGACACGGATCGACTGAGATACTCACTTGAACGATTTTCGTCATTTCTTGAATGTCGATAACCCCATTTCCGTCTACGTCGTACATCCGGAAAGCCCACTTGAGCTTCTCCTCGGGTGTGCCGCTGGACGTCACATCTATCGCCAGTAGGAATTCCTGTAGATATACAAAAAAGAAAAAAGCAGATGAAATAACGTACAAAATATAGAAAGAGTAGAGAACAAGAGAAGCCAAGGGACCACCGTCCCAAACTGGAAAAGAGGCCAAATGGTCTTGTGGGTACACCTGGAGCAAGAGTACCAGAATAATAAGAGTACAAGAGAACTGAAGGACAGGAGGGCAAAAGTTTGAGAAATGGTCTGAGAGTACCGGAAAAATAGCCTGACAGGAAATTGGCAGTAACAGTGGGTGGCGATGGACAATAAAGAGGAGGACAAGATTACGTATATGATGTAGAATGATAGTGCGATGGAAGGCCGTCACTTCCGGTACGCTCAGCCAATACTAATTCCTATTCAGTAGGTGATACGGAAGCTTTTCAGCCAAGTCGTTAGAAGTTTAGTCGACCTGCCTGCCTATACAACTAGGTCGCGCCACGCCTGGGGTGAATTATACTGTAATATGTCTGGACGGCGAACTGAAGAAATGTGGATTCGCAAGAGACTTTACAGAGAAAGAGAAAAAAACCTAGAGGACCTAAAACAGCCTGCGAAAAAGCGAAAGAGAGAGAGAGAATGAAGTCAGTCTTTATTCTGAGAATGTGAACCTTGGAGGGTACACCTTATACTTTCATATACTGTACTACCTTATCTAGTATACTCATATTATTTTCATGAACCCAGTAGAGCCAGGCTACTTATTCATCCTCCATCTACTTTCCATTCTTTCTCGCCTACTTCTACCATTGAAGATCAGCCACAGTATCACATTCCCATTTATTATTCTACTGATCTCCATAGTATTACTTGTTGGATTGAATATCTAGTACCGAGGCTGAATAATATAACCGAAAGACAGCGACATCTACAACGATAAATCTGAAGGCAAAACGACGGAATAAAGGTACGTTCACAACCCAGGACGTAATAGCAAGACCCATTAAACTTCTGTATACATCAGCCCAAGTATCTCTGGCGTTAAGAGAAGGCCTTCCGGTCTTAATAATTCATCGTTTACAAGCCCGTCACGCTACATCCAGCAAACTCACACTCCAAGTCGTACCCCTGTCACAGGAGTATTCGGATAATTTTTAAATTGTCCCACCACTTCTTTCGTCATCATCATCATTCTTGTATCTCGCGCGCACAACGCACTCATCAACCGGTACTACGTTTCGGGCCAGACAAGGGATCCATTAGACTTGCACTGTTGGAGCTCAAGTTTTACATCCGGATATTCTGTATAAGTCTCGAAAGGCGAAACAAGACTATCATTCGGATCCACGTCACGTATCCATGAGCGCTACTTCTTCCTCAAGCTCTTCCTTACCCCTCGCCAAGGGTTCCTCGCCTACTCTAAGTTCTAGGAGTAATAAGAGAGCCTAGATGGATACAGACGAAGTAGCCAGTTCAGCAATTTGGCTTCTTCGCGACACCTGCGGTATTCCTGCGGTATTCGAGTCACGTAACTAGAAGATATAATGGAATAAACTGAATGTGAGTAGAAAATTTTAATACCTGAATTATTATAGGCGCAGTTCAATCGCTTTATATTCAGAATGATCATAATTTGGCCGTATGCTTGACTGACAGACACGTATGGCTGTAGCATCATTCTCTAGATTTATACTGTATATATATACCTATGGTAGTACTACTAGAGGCGTGCACCCTAACATGACGGTACAGGCCGTGTCAAAGAGAAGCGTCCATTCAGCTCGTCGGGGTGCATAATGACTTTGTCCGGTAGATACTACTCCAGCACTACTACCTAATGACTATAGTAAACGTAGTATAGTAATGTGATCAGCCAACGGGCCCTTTGCGCTTATACTTGTTGCGCTTTGGTCTTTCATTGGTTTTTCGGAATAATTGGTAATCCGTCTGTATCTTCGTTAGGCCGGCTTCGGAGTAGAAGAGTCCCTCGGATTTGAGGGTTATGATTTACTGGGATCCAGTATGAAACAGTCGGAGCGAAGAGAAGAAGATGGATGGAAGAATTGTGATTTGAGAAACATCTGGAGCGAAGACAACTTAGTCTGAACTAAAAAGAAAAACAAAGTTAATAATACAAGGAAAAAAAAGTACGGAATAAAAGTTTCAAGAAATAGGTTAAGAGATACGTGGAATGCGTAATAGAATGGAAAAAAAAGAATGTATCGTTGCAAAACAGGTTTTGCCTTGAGGCCCGACCGCTTGAATTATGCGGTGGTATATCATAAATATTTAATAAAAAAATAAATAATAATTTCGTAAATACGAAAAATAACTGAAAATTCTCGATACTCGCAAATGTTCCAGGTAAAATGCTTATGATTTTTCCTATAAATTCCAACCCCGTAGATTCTGCGGTTTGTTCGCAATTTTGCGGACATAAAAAGTACAGAATATTCGGAATTTCGCGCATGCGCAGTATCGAGACCAGAAATACTGAACTTTCGTAAGTATTACTACTTCCACTTACATCCGGAACTTGATATCCGCTATAAATTTTAGTTCGATGGGTTTATAGCAGTTCTTTCGTAATTTTGTCCACAAAATTTTGAGTATTCGTTCATACAAACCCACGCAACCCTCTTTTTCAACGTCGAATGCATAACATACTCCGATATGTTCCAGGCGGGTTTATGTCTAAAAATAAAAGTCGACCTTGATAGAATTGCTAAGTATACCCAAAAAAGAACTGTATGAGGTCATGAACAAGTTGAGGTTCCCAATTATCCTGATTCCCTAATTGGTAACCGGATTCGGGGACGAGGTATGAGCTTTAAACGAATGAAGCCAAGGTGGGATTTTGCGAGCGAACCTATCGTGGGCGTTTCCATCGATCCTCTAGAGGAACGAATGGATTGCAATGAAAAATAAAAAAAAAGTCTCCCTGCAGCAAATTTACGATGAATTCCCAATCGGTGTGTAAACACGACATCTCTATAATGTCAACCCACGTTAAATCGATTTGCAATTTGCTCGGGCAAATTATTACGCAGCAGGGTATCCCGGTACTGTTATTCCCCACGTCCAGTGGGATCATCAGCGACGGCGTGTGCCCAGGTTGGAACTGAGGTTGTCGTGCTCGTAGAGGCTGTTCAGAGCTAGCGAAGCTCGTGGAGGTTGCTAAGCTCGTGGCGGTGGCCACTCGTGCGAGGAAACTGGGTCAATCTGTGAGATCAAGCCAGAAAAACTTGTTCGACTACGACGGCCTCCTGGCCAACTGCTAATCGACCTAATGAGCCTCGAGCTTCTTCATCGCAGGAGGTATACACGCAAGCACAGTACACCGCATTCTCCGAAATTCCTCAGAGCTTTCCCGACGACTCTAAAAGTCCTATAGAAACTATATCCCAGTCTGAATTCACTGGAGCAAGATACAGACGAGCTTTATTTTTATTTAACGACAAGCTTTTATTTTGCATAGAAAATTTTGGAGAATACAGGGAAACGAAAAATTTTTTTTTTGATAAATAAAAAATAAAAAATCTTCAAAGGTCGCAAGTTACTCGACGACGAATTTTTATCATTATAAGTTCATGACGAATTCGAAATATAAGTTACGAAACAATACAAAAATTAATTAAAATATTATCAATATATAAGCAACTTATACGTGTCGATGTTTTAGTTACGTTGTGTTATCAATCTTTTCTACTGATTTCATGGGTCAAAGATAGTTTCTGCTAGATAATAAAAATAAGAAAAAAAATTGAGCTACGTTGATCTCTTGAGATAGTTGAGGCATCCTTAAACTCGCACCTCGTTTCAAGCATGATAAGTGGATTCCGACTGAAAGCGATTATCCTGATAAAGCTCTATTAAGCTTCGGGTAACTGTCTCTTATTGCTGGTGACAAGTACAGGTCGTTACAAGGGGTGATTATTATTCGTCGAAACACGTTGGGGACACGCAATTCTAAAAATTAAACGTCAGATAAGAGACGGAGCTTATTTCTCCTGTTGCTTTAGCACAAGCGACAAGAGCTTTTAATTGCAAGGACGGAATTATGGGCGAACCTTATTTAATTAACGTCCCGAGCTTTTTCGCTAGCTAGTCTCTCCTTATCGCTCAGAAACATTTAGCGTAAACTGATACGACGGTGCATGTATCGGGCGACGTTAACGAGAGAGTGGACGAAAGAAGAAAGTTAAATAAAAAAACCAATGATTAAATAAAAAAAAAACCAGTAAAACGTTAATTCGAGCTTCGTAAACAGTAGCTCCATACCGAGATGGCTCACCGCAAAGCAGCGTGGTTTCTGCTGGCCGTGATAATAAGAAGGTACTCTGGCTTGCGGTAAAGGCGTTTTTATTAAAAAGAAAAAAGAAAAATATAGCCCGTTATAATTAACCAGCCATGATTATTTGTTTAGCCGAGCTTCTACGAACAGAAGCGAACTCGCCCGAAGCCGCTGAACAATAAACCGTTTGCTTAAACACGGCCGAGGAATTTTGTTCGGCGCTCTAAGGAAAAACAAAGGTCGCCAGAGTTTATGGTGAGAATATTTTTGGACTCCGTCTTGCAAGTGCGCCCCATGGCACTCCTATGAAACGTGCTCTTACAGCAATTATGTATTACTGTATACCACCCCAAGACTAATTGCAGGAACTGCATGAGAATAGGCTGCCATAAGGGTGACTTTAGACTCGACTGTTCGGGGGGGGGGGCAGGGGGATGATCGCGTGACTTGGTACGCTTTTACAGGGTGCTCAGGTGGCGAATGAAGGTGTCTGTAAGGTTCGATACATATATATATATATATATATATATATTTACAGTACCTAATACATAACGGTAGGTCCGGATATCGACCTCCTAGGTATCCTGATGAAGGGGCGAAGGGTAACTGTGACGTCAGAGGCGATTCAAAGGAGAAGAGGGTTGGTTCGACGGCCTCGAAAGCCTCGACGGTGCCGACGCCGCGGCGTTTCGTTCTCCAATGCCCTCGAGGCCTATATTTAGCATGGGTCTACAATTTATCGGACCATCGCCACCATCACTGTAACCCGCACCCTTACACAGTCGGTCAGTATGCGGAGAACTGCGTTTCGAAGGGGTTGGTAAAAAAAAAAAAGGAAATGAAAAGGTAGACAGGAGAGAAAAAAGAGACGGAGGGCGAGGATGATAAAAAAAAAAGGGACGCGATCCCTCGAGGTAGGGCCAACATGAAGAGAATATATCGGGACGAACAGGTTTGCCCTTGGAGAGGCAACCCCTCGAAGGGAGGGGTTGTTTTATGCATTGATCGGTGTAAACAAAAATTATCGGTATCATCATCGGGCAGGTATACCTGCTGTTACTAATGTCCTGAATTTGGCTAGTTATCCACGTCTGTCCTTGTCATACACATGGAAACGAGCATCTACGCGTCTCTCTCACACTAACTGACGGTATAGGAAATTCGATAATCCAAGGTCTAATGGACTTTTCGCGATCGTTTCGATTGATTCTACGCTTTATGCGAAAATTCCAAACGAACGGATTTACCATAAGTAACGAATTGTGAATTTGCATCTCCGTTTGCAATCCTCGCAGGACGCTTTGAAGATCTAGGAAATATCGTACGAGCGAATTTTAATGCTGCAAGGGGCAATGGATATCGTATTCTGACAAGCTGTGACATACTGAACGCCAATGGTCCCACACACGTAGTAGCTATTATGGGAAAACGGGATTTTCCTGGGATTTACGGATTTACGAATATTTGCATGCACAGGTGTACGTAATCCTGTATACTCTGAGTATTTGGGAAAGGCAATGAATTTTATTGTGGGAGAATGGAAAAAAAAATATAAAAAAATAAAATAAAACCAGAGAAGAAAAAAAAGGGATCAACGAAAAATGGATAACAAAGGCAGTTGTATTAAATGGGGTGAAGTTAGCCCATAACGCTGTCCCGTGTGTTTTAACGTTGTTTAAAACATTACAGAAAAGAGCCCGTGGGCTTTTTGTATTACGGAAAATAAAATCGTCCACAAGCGGCGTCAATTTCAAATGAACTTTACGATACTGTCTAATGAACTGCTTGGGGCGTCATTCCCGATGACATTATTCAATATGGATCGGTATTAATTATTTTAATTAAAATGGAAATATTCCCGATGGAGCAGTATTAATTACCAAGTGATTAAGGATATTGGTGATTAAATTTCAAGAATGAGATATCTGACAGTTAACGGGAAAGAGTGACAAAGGGAGATAGAGACCTGATAGTTTTCAATAATAGTGGAGACGTAAACGATCCGTATCGTGTAACGAGAGTATAAAGTCATTTTAGAATGAAGAATCCAATTAAAAATGCCGACATAACTGCGAAGTTGAAAATGCCCGAGGAATATATTTACCTGAATGCTGGGAGGATAAGAGTGATGAATAAAAAAAAAAAAAGAATTCAATGCGAATGAAATAATGCGATAAGAAAATTGTAAAAAATATACATAAAGCTCACCAAGTCCTCGAGAACGAATGAAAATGAGCATCCGGAACGAACCGAACTTTTAAAAAGAATCAGGTCGCGTATGCATGAATATCTATATACTTGGACAAAATAACGTGAACGTCACGATAAGACGGCCAATGGTAGGTAAGTATACCAAACGTGAAAATTTCCTGGCTAAAACTTCCGCCCACTCTGTTTGTGCCGGGTCTTGGTCTTCCCCGAGCCCCTTAAAGTCACTGTACCCAAGTCCCGTCCCTGTTGACTCAGACGATATGCCTGTATAATTTATATGGAAATTTCGAACAACCTCGAGCTTTCAGTCAAGAAAAGCTTACCAAGAGCCAGAGGTCAACGAGCTTTCAGTCTTTGATCGGTGATTCGATGGTAATCCGTGGTCGGTCACCGGTTTGCAAAATCGTTCAGCCAGGACCGCAAGCTCTAAAGCTCGTCGAGCTTTCCGGTAACAGGATAACGAAACAGAGGAAGAGGAAGATATAGAAAGTCGCAGCTTGGTTCCGGCAAAGTATCGATCCCGAGGTATAGGCAGGTGGCTCGTATATTGATTCAATTAGAGGGCGTAAGAGCTTTTTGGGCTGTTGGCACTGAGCGTCGAAAAAGCTCGTGGACTAAAAAACTTAAAAATTTTCATATTTCTACAAAGACACTATAAATACATAACAACCCATGTGTAAAGTGATTCCTCACGCTTCGCGCATATATCCCTATGATAAATGTCAGCCGCTAAAGAATACAGTAAGGAGCTTGCGTTAAAAAAAAATCCTCCAAAACCCCTGGCATTTCCCACTGGCATTTCAATTTCGCACGCACCTTCCACCACCTTTGATAACCAAAAGGTACCGTTTGGACGCCGCAAAAGCTTCTACGTCAGAGCCATCCTCGAAAAGCTTGGGATCCATACCAACCATTGTAAAATGTCCTAAAGCTTTTTCAGAGAATGTACAAAGCTCGTACGTACGGTCCTCTACTCGCAAAAAGCTCACCCGGCGTCCCGTAACCGACGCTCGTTCACCAAGGGGTGGCAGCCCTAACGGAATGATAAACTCGCTGTGGCAATTTATCGCCACCCCCTCCGAGCACGAGGGTACGACCCACTTTTGGCTAATTAACGGCACGGGAACCGCTGACGACGATACTGAGCACGGAAAAGCTCTCGGTACCGCGATCAGGTCGTTGGAAAACTCGTGTCTGACCTGCAACCTAACCCTTCCATTTTGGACGCTAGTGTATCGCTCTACTATCAACGCTATGCAAACTACGAAACCCTAAGGCCAGTGTGAATTATATACGTCAAGGGTTCGCGCCTACGTCACTGAGCTATATAGGTATACCTTATGGGTGTATGTTTAATACTATGTCAAAACTGCCCCCTGCTTGAGAATTCCATGCTGATACAACGTCAGGATGAGTGTTTACATGCTTCTGGTCTGAGCTAGTGGCTGTAGAACTTGGATTTATATGTAGACGATCTTGTAGACTCGTTTTCTTTCAGCTTCGTCTTATGTGTTACTGTTGGGATCTAGAGTGGTTCCCCAAGGTAATACAATACCTGGGATTTATATGATGACTTATTTTTAGGATTGACTGTAGTCGATACAACAGTTTCCTATGTATTTGTATGGCACCGTACAGAATCAGCTTGAACGTACTCGTTGAATTTCTAACACATAGATTTTAGGTTATGTTTGCTGGTACTGTGCTCCGCTAAAGTTTTCCCGACCCTTTTATAACCGTGGTACCAGAAACGTGAGCTTCAAACGTTTTGTGAAACTGAACACGTATCACGTTACGGGTACAATTTTCAATGTCTATAAATTACAAACAGCTTAGGATATTGAAACGGTCCTTTGCGGTTTTACCACGAAATACGAGCATTCATATTGAACCGTCAAATAATGTTGATACAAATATAGACTTAATAAAATTTGGTTTAATAAAACTTGAAAAATAGTAGGCAATTTGAAAGAGACTCATGATTTTTTTACGATGGTACTTTTTTTTACGATACGGTCTCTTTCTTATGCACATAGATACACATGTGTATGTCTCTCTCGCACTCGCGGCGAGTATAGGAAAATCCAAAATTATCAAGAGTTTCAATAAAAATTGTATCAATCAATTCATCGGGACTAACGATATGTTTACGAACGTTGCAGAGTCTTGTTCGCATATATGTATATACGAATTTAAGGCTTGCGGTAAAAAAAATTATTAATAGCAAAATGGACAATATTGTCTAGATAACGAGAAAGGGCAAAATACGTATGTATGTAAATACATAATGTATATTAGAATAATAAATTGCACAATTACTTTAAAGTCGATGTAGCCATTCTTATCCATGTCAAATGTACGGAAGACGTGATCGCAAAATTCCTCAGCGTTACCAGACGGGAAGAACATTTTGTACATGTCGACGAATTTCGTTGGCGTCAACCGGCCGTTCGGGCAGTCTTGCTGCAAGAAAAAAACACACAGAATTCAGTAAACAGGTAGAAAAGGCAGTATACACAATAAAAAATACACCCGACAGAAAAGCTTTCAAAGAGTCTCAACGTTACAATGGACGTCAATAGCGATTGCCGAGTCATTGTGACGTCTAATTACACCAATAACCAAAGAAAGACAGCGTCACGTGAAACGTATCAGGACGTCTCGTGCATTCTGAAAATTGTCTTTCACGCATCATAATAAGGTACAGGACACGGGTTTCTCTCTAGAAATATATTTTTAGAAATAGAAGATACATCACAGAGTGCCGATGGTTGTCCATACGTGTGCATGGACGTAGGAAGAGCCATTGTCGGTACGGTACAAAGATATTTGAGAGACAAGTAGGTAGGTGACTGCCTATAGTGGACGTCGATGGTGAAGTGGGATAAAGAGAAGTGACGTGAAGAAAAAGAGAGCTTAAAAGAGGGAGAGAGGGAGAGAAAGAGGAGAAAAGCTCGGCGAGTTACCGAGACAAAAAGCGCCCCCAGGACAAAGTGAGTGAAGTGTGCTGGACCGGCAGGAGGAGTTACTAGGACACGAAGTCTATGCAAATAATGTATCCGACCGCAGAAACGCAGTACGATACATATTTTGTCTCTCGTTTTGTTCAGAAAATAAGGTAGGCAGATAAAGACATGGGAAAAAAGCAATAGAGAAAAAGAGAGAAAAGGGAAAAATGTGAAAACGTAGCTCCATGTGCGGAGTGGACGAAAAATTTTTAATGTGACTTCAATTTTTCGTTTCGGAGTAACAGACGCTCAAAGGAGTGAGTATACCAATCACTGTACCAATTCATTTAACATTCGACTATAGAACTTGTAAAGCTCTCCACGTCGAGCCAGCAAAAGCTCGATTAAAGATTTTCTGTAGTTAAGGCGGAACCTTGGATAGTATGTAAATCGGGATGAGTAACGGAGGGCGGGATACTGAGCTTGCACTTGGAGAGAAATCCAAGAGAGTGCAATGGCCGCTAACGATTCGACTTAACAACTGACGTCGTTAAGCTCAAAGCTCCTGTAGGAAAAACTAGTAGAGTAAGCGTCAGGTGAAGCTTGACGTCTACCCAGACAGGCTTGACCGAGAGAGCCTGAAGCTTTCGGTAGCACTCTGCTAACGCCAAACCTTGGTAAGCTTTTATTGCCGGAAGCACATAGACCTAGTTCCAACCAAACCCACGTATACAGATGCCTATACGAGCTTGTGGGCTTGTTTATCAAATTCATCAAGCGTCCCTGGATAATCAGAGGTACAAAGCTTTGGTCGGGGCAAGCCCCACCCGAGGATTCAGTTGGGCTCGTCGCGACGCCGTAACACCCAGCGTCGGCCCCGTCAAAACGGAGCTTGCAAATCTCAGCCGAGGAGTTGCTACTCCGGGAGACTAGGAGGGTCAAGAGCTTTTGCTCGGAAGCCTCGACACATATTGCCACATCGATAGCCCAGTGCTTTCACGTGCAAGCTCAAAAGCTCCGGGTCGACCCGGGTACCGGGTGTACAACTGCAAGAGAACTGAGATTGATTGGAGAGAGAGAGACTGAGATTCGATTGGTACTATTTTCCCCTGCAAGCTTCCACAGCCGTCAATAACTCTCCTAAAAAAGCTCGAGTCACTAGGATAGAAGAATTTACGATTTTTGACAAACAGCTTCTTCTCTCTAGCACGCCTCAATTCCTCAGACCATTCGGAACGGGAGATAGGATCGTACTGATCGTCTCGTGTGCCATCGAGAGTAAAGCTCTCGATTGTCGTAAAAAGCACAGAGGGTAAAGCGACCGACGTGAAAAAGCACGAAGAATCCTGCGAAATCTTATTGACAGTCAATGAAAAGCAGTTAAGAGCGTGGCTTTCGCGCGATTGAAAGTATTAGCCGAGAGAGCTTTTAATCGACATCGGGACTCATCAGCGAGACAAAGCTTTTAATGGCCAGACTACGATTTTCCAAACCCGACTAACAAGACCTGTCAACAACACGAATCGTTAGAACAACTCTAGGACGCCTCAGTAATACACATATATACGTCTTAGGACAAGATAAAACTCATGCCTCGGGATAGAATTCAATGAAACACAGACAATCTGTATAGCAGTATTGTGGGTCCATGAAAGCTAACCGGACCCGATGAAGGTTGAATGGTGATACAATGGTGGGCGTGACGGGATGGAGGAGGTTGGGAGGGCAGATAGGTTAAAATGACACAAAAAAGAAAAAAAGAGCCTAACGTAAGAAAGAGGCGTATATAGGATCCAATCGTTTTCCACAACGTCACACATGGCGCGTACGGATAAAGGCATTGTGCCAGTATATTACGTCTGCGTATCCTATCGACGGACAAATCTAAAATCACGCGAGTTCTGAAAAGGTATAGGACTTGGTATCGAATCTGACACAGAAAGGAGAGCGGAATCAGTCGATTCCTTTTTATCGCATCCATTAGACTGTCAGGGCAGTACCGATTGGCGGATCGGTCGTCCATTCAACAGACCCCCCGTCCGCCTTTAGCGTCACAATTGAGCTTTTCCGACGGTTTCGAAAGCTTCGTCTTCGCCACCCCCCCCTTCCTCCCTATTTCACCTCCATCCTTCTGCTCGCTTTTCTAACTTGAGATCCGCACTCTCTGGGAGCCTCCGACAGAAAGTGCGTCGTGGCTACTTCGTCGTAATAACGTAAGAGCAATTCTCGACAAGAAAGTAGGTCTATACAGCAAGAAAGGAGCCTGTACCAAGGATGCTGGAGGATTTTAAGTAGCGAGAAAAGAAAAAAATCTAAAAGTATGAAGTGGAGAGAAGTCGAGGTTAAAAAAAAATGTAATCAAGAAAATTAATTAGGATACAGGACGGGAGGGAGGGTAATTGGCAAAAAGTGGTACACTGATTTAACACATAAATATGTCGTATACGATACAGCTCGACCATATTTGATTATACACAAAAAATAATGAATCACCAGAAGTTAGCCTGTCCATTCAATTCATATGACAGACCCACCTCGAGACGGTCCATTTGTGTGAATCACCCTTTATACGCGCATGTATATATGTATATATAAAAGAGCGGCCTCAGTGTACCTGCTTATGCCATGACAGGCCGTTATTAATTAAAAAATAATTAAATAACCAAGCCGCAGGAACGTGCGCGGATAGATAAGACTGTGTATGGGAAAGCATGATAATGCGCGTCATGGCTGCTAGAAATTTTTTTAGTAAATTTCGAAATTCAGAACACGGTTGGTTAACCTAGCTGTTACGAGTGACAATGAATGATGAGATACGGTGAAATGGCTGCCGAAATGGCACGGAGCGTATAGGCGCAACTGCCGGGATGCCGGAGTTGCGGGAAAAGCTTTCTATTTTGAAAATGACTGTACAACGGAACCACTAGAGTCGAAAATATCGAACAATTTTCATGAGCTCATTGTACCAATGGCAGGCGATAAAGTGCTCGTGAATAGGAGAGACAGAGAGGAGGGGAGTACAGGAGAGGATGGGAGAGCGAGAGATAGAGGGAAAAAAAGCGGCAGAGAATAAAATGCTCGCGAGGCGGAGAATCAGTGAAAAAAAGTCGTGTTCACTTAAAGGGTTGATGATTTCTATTCTGAAATGGGAATTATGTGGATCTTCGTGTGGAACATTCGTTGGACAATACGACGGAGCGGCCATTACGATTCTTCGGCTTTATGTTGTATCCAACAAGGAGGCACGGACCACGTGAAGTTTCTGGGCACGTACAGTCTACTCAGGAGAGAACGAGAGTAAATGTATACGTATATAGATAAGACGGGCTTCGTCTTCTTCCAAGTAGGCAAGAGAAGAAAATCGATCCGGCCAGGTGTACCAACCTCAGCGACCCTTGTAAGCCCAAACCCCGAAAAAACTTGAAAAGCTCATCCGGGGCATTGGAAGATTTTTTGATAAACAAAGAAGAATCTTGAACTTTGAAAGAAAAAAGGATTTATTAAATTTTCTTTGAAAAAAAAAAAAAAAAACATGTAACTTTCCTCAAACGTCAAAGTCAAAGAATATAAATGAAATACGTATTGCGTATAATGCGAATCGTATAAACATAATCCAAATCGGAAATACGTTGGCCAATCAGATAAAGAAGAGAGTTAAGAAAATACAGAATCACCCCCTAGTCGATTAATCTCCACCTGATTTGGGGTAATAAAGGCGTGGGACGTAAAGATGCAATCGGAGGGAAAGCGTATGAGAGAGAAGATGAAAGTAAGAAGGATCAAGGATACAAGAATAGCCGTGAAGTATATAAAAAAGGAATAAGTCAGAGAGAGAGAGAGAGAGAGAGGGGTTGGGTGGCAAAAAAAAGAACAGAGAACAGGCGGTTAGCAGCAAGTTGGGCGCTCATACCGATAAGGGAGGACGAGGGAGGTGAAGAAGAAGGACGAAGAAGAGGAGGAGTGAGCCACGATAAGCCTAGCCAGGCTCGCTGAGGAGCCACCAGAGAGAGAGTGGCATATTGATCGTTCTGGCTCGAGGAGAGAGACTAGATGGAACTAGAGGAGCGAGATCAGAGATCGCGTTTGATATTGAAAAAAAAGAGGGATAAAAAAATAAAAAAAAGAGAGAGAGAGAGAGAGAGAGAGGAAAAAAGGGATAACTGTTCACGTGAAAACGAAAATCGCAAAGTTTGAAATACGAGCGAGCTTTAAGGTGACAATCAACCCCTCGAGAGAGGGTTGAAAATACTTGAGAAAAAAAATATCTTGAGCACTACCTTTCTTGACTTCGCGCGATGGCTCTTTCGAAATACTTTCAAATTTTTTCCACCCTTCCGTCGTGCGGGAATTCGTCCTCCTTATGACCATCTCTCTATTTCTAGCTTCGCTCCTTCGTCGAGCACCTGATTCTCCTCGGGGACTTATTAACCGGGAGCACCCCCTCGGCCCGAACACCCCCGTAGGAACGAAAAGGGTGGAAAGCATAAGAAAGGAAGAAAGAAAAAAAATCGAGGTTGGCTACATTTAATTAGGGGTTGTCGATTCGCCGCTAATGGCGTCGGCTAAACCAACCCCC